AGAGCAAGGGAAGCAGTTGGCTCTCTGCTCAGCACCAGGGAGCTCCCACCTGGGCATGGTGTGCAGCTTAGCCCTCCCCCTCTATTCAGTCACCCCTCCATCCCCAGGGATGCCGGTTGGAGCTCCCAGGCTGGTCGGGGCTGGGAGCAGAGAGCCTGGGAGGAGTCGTGGGGAGTGCTGAGAGTGTTGGGCAGGTGGCTGAGGGTGTATCTGATCACAAGGTACAGCAATGGGAAGGGCAGTAAGGAGAATGATGTGGTCAAATGCTTTTGGCAGCTATGGCAGGTGACATAATAGGGGAATGTGGGAAGTTTGGCTTGGATATTAGGAGGAAAACAGCTGCTGGGGAGATGTCTCCATCCATGGAGGGCTCAAGCATTGCCCAGACAAGACCAGGCTGCCCAAGTCTCTTGGTGGCAACAGTCCTGTTGTGTTGGATCAGAGACCTCCTGCAGCCCCTTCTAGCCACCTGTGGGTCTGAGCCCTGGTCCCTTTGGTGCCTCCTGGCGTGCTGTAAGAGCAGTTTTTGTTTCACCCAGCTTGCTTTCTGCTGCTTTGGCTTGCAGTGGCCTCTGTGTTACTCAACAGCCCAGGAAAAACAGCCATCACTCTGAAAACCCATCAGTGCTTCTGTGGCTGGGATTCACGTGTCAAACAGCTCTGGCCTCGTGGGTTGGACATTGTGCAGAGTACAAGCACAGCAGGGGAAAAGGATGGTTAAGGCAGGAGGTTGTCCTGCCATTAAGTTAATTTTTTGACTATATACCTGCACTTCTGGGCTTGCATCCAAGGCCTGAAGTACTTGTGCGATTCCTTCCTGCCTCCATCAGTTTGGTTGTGTTCTCTATTCCCTCCTGAGCTGGTTATTAATTATGGAGACTGCAGAGATGAAGTCCAGACTCTGCTAATGGTTGACTTCCCCGTGTTTTAGAGACAGCATTTCAGGGACCTGCTAATGGTGTTTCTCAGCTTTGCTTTTTAAGCTCCGCTGTCATCTCGGTTTGCACCCTGAGTGAGGCGGGTAGCGGTGCTCAGGTGTTGGCTGGAGCCTGGCTCTCAGGGCAGGTCACAACGCCCCTGGGTTGGAATGTCCTCCTTTTTGTGCTGGCAGGGAGAAGAGAGCCTTGCCTGGCAGCTCTCAGGCAGTGCAGTGACCCTTGCGGGGTGACACCTCTCAATTTCCCCTTTAGGAATCAGGGAACAAGTCCATGCTGAATGCTGTTCCACGCCCCAACTATCCTCACAAAGCCAACCATCTCTTTGCTCTTAGCTTCCCTCACAGCCTGTGCCTCAGCCTTTAAAGCTGCCTGGCCAAGCCCTGGTCTTGCACATCTCTCCTCTCCCAGCCTTGTTATTCCTTCTCCTCCTCTCCCAGGAGCAGCGCTGGGCTTGCTCCTCCCTGCCCCATCCGGGCTGCGGGTGCTGCCGGCCTCGGCTCCGGCTCTGTCTGCCCTTTGCTCTCCCTGGCCCGGCTGGTGCATCTCCATTCCTGTGGCAGGACCCCTGTCCCTTCTGCCTGACCATCCACCCCAAATCCTCTGAGACGTACGGCTCTCCCTCTCCCACCTTGTTCCCATTTCTCTGCTGTTCACTTGTGTCCCTCTGATGTGGGGAATCAGCGCTGTGTTTTCTCTCTTAGGCCCTGCCAAGCTGTTCCCTGCCTTTGCAGCTGCTTCCAGCCTGCTGCTGGTCAGCCAGCCCCTGTGCAGGGATGCACAGGAAGGAGCTGCCTGCATCCCCCCGTCCCTGAGCTTAGCCTTATGCTAGGGGGATGGGAACAAACAGACTTGGGAAAACGGAAACAATGAGAGTGCAAAATCTCGCTTTGCTTTTGCTAGCTCTGCCTGTTCACATCCCCCAGGACTTATCCCTGGTATCGGATGGCAGCTCTGGCCTGGGAGTCCCTGATCCCGTTTTGCAATTCTCCAGTGTCAGCCAGCAGCTTGGGCCTTCCTGTAAGTGCCCCAGTGGTCACAGGGAAGGAATGTTCCCCCGGCCGGCCGCAGGGGGAAAGGTCACCGCGGGCAAAGGGGACGCCAGGCGAGCAGCAGCCTTGCTGCTCCCGCCCCTTGCTGATGAGGGCAATGCTCATCAGCACAGAGACAAAAACAGGCTGGCTTATGGGGGAAATTGGGAAAAAAAAAATGGTTCAAGAGGTTAAATATTTTGGGCAAGGCCCCACTTCCTTTCGCAGGGCAGATCTGGGAGCAGATGCAATGCCCAGGCAAAGCCCAGGATGTGTGCATGTTTCACAGCTCTGTTAGCTGCAGGATGTTTGCTGCTGAATCCGCTCCCAAAAACATCTGTGTGTCTCTTAAAGCGGTGCCTGGGACAGAGGTTTTGGCCAGTTGCTGCTGCTCGGAGCAGCTCTTGGGCTGAGCAGCGGTGTTGTGGCTCCCTTCCCTTCCTCCCCAGTGCCTGCCAGCAAACCTCTCCGCTGGATATGCAGCTCGGAAGGAAAGCTGTGAAAGCTGTGACTGGCCGTGGCCACAGCGGGATTAACATCCAACCTTAAGGCTTTAACTCATCCCTGCCAGCCAGGGGGTTCAAATAACTGCCATGCCTCTTCCTTCCACCCTGCAGCTTGTAGCTTTTTTAATCCTGTCCTTTACACCCTGTTCTCCAGGCTGCCTTTGCTAAGCTGGAGCTTGCTCCTGGCACTTTGTTGCTGAAGCTCCTGGGGATGCTGGTCACATTTGTCAGGGTGGGAGCAGAGCAAAGAAAGGAGGAGGAATTTCTAGGTTGGGCTTACAAAACTGGAGTTTTTCAAAATTCCCAGCGTGTTAAAAAAAATACAGAGCTAATCTGGCCCTTGGTCTCTAGGTTACGTTTGCCTCAGCCGAGGCTGAGCTCATGGAAAATTGCATCCCAGCTCCTGTGCTCCCTGCCAAGATTAGTAGGTTTAAAAACTAACCGATAACATCTTTGTAAACTTGGAGTCATTTCTTTAAAGCCCGCTGATCCTTCCAGCCTGGATTTTGGAGCTTTCCTAGAGATCCAAGAGAGCCAAACAGGACGATGGCATCTGCATTGAAAAATCACCCAGGAGCCTCACAGTGCTTTCAGCTGCTCCCGAGGGAGGAAAGAGGCTGATGTTTGCCAAGGCCCCGAGGGGTGTGCTGGGATCCTTCTCCCTGTTCCCAGCCGGATACACAGCACACAGCGACGCTCCGCGCGTAACTTATAATAATCACCGGTTTTATTTTTAAAAAATTACAATAGAAAAGTACCTTTAAACATATTTCCAAAAGCAGAGTAGACAATGTGGAAGCTTCTCTCCTCTCCACGAGACAAAGTACAGGAAATAGTTTGCTAAAAGAGTTAGTCCGTCGCTTGGGAACGCTGGTATCGTTCCTTTTGGAGCCGCTCTGAGGTTTGTCTTGGATTTGATTTCTTCTCAAATCACTGTTATCAGGCCCATTTTTTACAGAAGACCCCAACGGGACAGTTTCTGATGGTGAAAAACCCGATTTTTTCATACCCCTGGTCCCACCCTGACAGCCAGAATCTCAGCCATCTTATTTTGGCCCACCCACAGGACAAGAGGAAGGAGAAAGGAAAAGGTGATGATGTTTAACGAGGCCACAAACAGCTGGGAAAAACTGGCCACAGTGAGGCCTGGGCAGCAGCTGAGCTCAGTGTTCCCTGCAGCTGGAATGGAAACGGGGGAAAGGCAATGGAAGGCGAAGTTCTGCACCTCCCTTTGCAAGAAACAGAGGTTTTGGGTCACTTTGCTCTCTTCTTTATCCGAATTCCTCCTGGAGCAAGGAGAAGGAGAACTAGTGTGTCAAGCAGTCTCTCTGCTGGTACTCTATCTCTGTAAAGGCTGTTGGCAGCCTCCCTTCTCATCTTTGCACGTGGAAAGGTGGGGATGCCACGCAGGGAGCAGCTGGACCAGTGTAACATCAGCACTAAAAACCACAGGCCAGGCCAGGCCAGCGCTTCAGCGTAACGGGAAGCCCCTCAGGACTCATGTCCAACCTGGAGGAAGCTGGCAAACCAAGGATTTGTTGGTATGCTTTTTCATACAGCAGTTTACATTGCCCGTAACAGCTTGGAGCAGTCATGGCAGGAGAAGGAGGAAGAGGAGGAGGAGGCAAATTGTCACCTTGCTACGTGTGTGGGCTGCCCGCCCATCCCTGATCCGAGCTGTTGTACCCCACGGAAGCTTTGCACAGCAGCTATGAACACAGCCCCAAGGTAAAAAAAAAAAACACGGGAAGGAAGTTCCTGGTCGCCCTGCCTGCTCGTCATTTGGTGCAACTGGGAAGAAAACAGTAATACTGTAGTGTCTGCAGATGCCTTGCCCACACGGCCAGAGCACAGTTCCTGTGCCAGAAGGAGCACAGTTCCTACAAACCCGCGTCGTGTGTGTCGACATCCTCGCACTTGTGGACATTGCTTGTGAACATCGTGCCTTCCACACGCAGCAGGGCCAGGGGATTGATAATAAGATTCTTCTTTACGCACCTCCCAAGTCAAGCACAAAACCTGTGGTCCAACCCGGTGTAAGATTGTCCTCTTGAGGAGCTTTGGTACAAAAATACTTGCTTTTGTTTTGGTTTTTTTCCTTTTACTTTCTTTTTTTCTTTTTTTTTTTTTTTCCTTTTTTTTTTTTTTTTGTAGTCCGCTTTCCTATGGTTCCATTTGAAAAGCCTTTTCAAACGCTACAACAATGCCTGTCAAACCATGCTTTCGGGAGTAACACACTCTTCCTTACAAATATACAGTGTAAAAGAGGAAAATATTATTACTAGGTATGTTTTTCTTTTTTCTTCTAGGAGAGCAGATGTGTGATAGAGGCTGTGGGAAAGTCTTGGAGGAATCCAAACTTGTGTGAGGTTTTTTTTCAAGCCTGGAACAACAAAGAAAGGTGTTAAAAAAAAAGAGCAGCTGTGATGGAGGAAAAAGGGCTGTGGTTAATCTCTTTTCCTTTGTGGAAGGAAGGAAGCAAGGTAGGGGGGAGAGGGAGGCTTGTTTTGGAAATTCCTGTCAGGATCAAGCTCTAAGGACAGTTGTTTAGCAGGGAAAAGGCAAGGAGGGACCTGCCTGCAGGGAGAGACCGTAGCATCCCTGGCACAAAGAACCCCACTGATCCCACTTCGTTCCTCCCGTTGGCTGCAGTCCCCGGGGCTGGAAGTGGGAAACCGGGAGTTAAGTGTGAGTTGGGTTTTGCAGTTAAGAGGAATTCAGTCTCTGTTGATCCAAGGCAGGAAGCAAGGACGGAGATGAGATTAGCGGGGTAATTCAAAGCCGAGAGGCATTCCTTGGCTGTGGAAACTCTCACCCCAGATAACAGCGATCAAGGGGAACGGCAGAGCCATGGCTCTGCAGGGCAGGAGCTGGAGCAGCCCCAGGGACGTGCTGGTGACTTCCTCACTCCTCTGCACCCTTCCCCAAGCAGGGTGGCATCCTTACCAGCACACTGAGGTCCTGTGGAGAGCACATCAACCCAGTAGCCACCTTGGAAGACTCCATTAATACCCACAAGACTGACTGTAGGCCACCATCACACACCTGAGACCTGCGGGAGGACACAGCGGAGAGTGAGGGACGCTGGCACTGGGGCCCGAGGTCAGTGCGCTGTGGGCAGGGGTGATTTCACAGGGACCAGGGGACAGCTTGCAGCAATGGTCTCAGATGTTCTTCCCAACCTAACTGATTGTGGGATTAGCTCCGCTGTGATGGGCTCCAGGCAGCAAATACAGGCAGATGCAAGCAGGAGAGCCAGGCCCTCAGCCAAACCCTCTGTGCCCTTCCCAGCTGGAGGAGCCTGGAAGGGAAACAGGAGGTCCCTGAGCCTCCATCCTCACCACCCACTGGGCTGGTGGATCTGCTTCAAGGGATTTGCTCATCTCCCCTTCCCAAAAGCCTTTCTGCTTACATTTTATCTAGAAACATTGGCATGTTGCATATTTTGGAAGAACCATTGGTTCCCAAAGCCTCAGTACTCCCTATTTTTATCTGCTGGGCCTAAAATAGCCGGTGAATTCTTAATGGATCCAAGTCTGGGGCCGGCTGCAGCCAGGGCTGGGCCTCGTGCCCTCCCGGCTGAGTGACCTCATGGCCACAGCACAGGGCTGCAGGTGCCAGGCAGATGGGCAGAGCAGTCACATGCGAGCATGGGCAGCTGATGCCAGAGCTTTGGATCCGCTGGCATTTCTCCACAGGCGGGTGTGGAAGCAGGAGGTTTCCCAGCAGGGATTGTTCTCAGCTAGGATGGTCCAGGCAGGCTGGGATTGCAGGGCAAGCAGTGCTCAGCGTCCACCAAGGCTCTTTTCCCTCTTCCATGTGAGTCCCCTTTGTTTATTTATCCACAAAGCTGAAGTTATTTGCAGAGCGTATCTTGCAAGGCTTTTTCCATCCAGAGAGGTCCCAGATGGAATGGGATCCGTCCCTCCCTCCTGCTGGGCAGCCGGGTGCTCGGTAAGGCTGTACTTCTTGTTTTGGCACCCCCACCACCCTGGACTGTCTGGAAAGTTTTCCTTAAGGTTTAAGGAGGTGATGGTGTCAGGGCTGCCTTTTCCATCACAACACCCACCTCTGGCATGGTGCCTTTCCCTCCTGCCCCAGGACACGTGGGAAAGTTTTGTGGTGAATTGCAGCACAGACATCCATCCCATTCTGGGGACAAGGAGGGCAACTGGCCTTGGGGTGTCTGCTGAAAAGTGGCCGCCCACCCTGAGCTGCTGGAGAGCCCGGGGCTCGCAGTGGGGGAAGCTCAGGGTAGAGGTGGAGGTGGTCCCCAGGCAGCCCAGAAGGATGGGAGCAGGACAGCGGCACTCACCCGGCATTCAGCAGAACTGACGGGACTTCCAGCCCTGAGAACCAGCCTCGGAGGGAGGGAGCCAGCGCATCTGCGAAGGCAAGGGGGACACAAGGTGAGAGGGGGTGGCTGCCCACCCTGGCAAGAGCGGGCTGCAGCTGGGATCCCTTTTCCTGGCTTTTCCCAGGCACGGGGAGGAGGGAGGTTGGAACAGCAGAACATCCCAGCTCCAATTCCAGCCGTAACACTGAGGATGAGCACAGCCCCTGGCATGGCTGCTTCCAGTAGGATGGAGCTGGAACAGCAGCACCATGGTGAGTGAGCTCATCCTTCTCAGCTCCTGCAAAGCCCGCTTGAAACAGGGAGGAAAACATCAGCTGCCAAAATTTGGCATGCAGGCGCTCGGTGCTCTGCCAGATAACTCCAAGCCAGCCCCATCATCCATCCTGCAGTTCCTGGTCCCGCTGCTGTCTGCAGGATCCAGTTTGGGTGGTGGCACCAGTCTCCAGCCCGCACCCAGCAAACTCACAACCTCAGCAGCTGCACAGGAGGATGGGAAGGTGCAACCAGCACCCTCCCCACCAGGCTGATATTTCACATCAGGTAATATTGCTTCTGTCAGGTCTCAGCCTGGGTTTTCCCAAGGGACCCTCAGAGCTTCCGTACGCCTCTGTTTCCTCGGCTGTGCGCTTCCCTGAGCAGGGCAGGTGCTGCCTGTTAGCAGTTATTTGACAAGGCAAGTACATAGCTGCAATAATATTTACCAACGCTCTTCCTATGAACAGCAGGGCCCAAAAAGCTGGAGTTTCATCCAAAGGCTGCACATGGTTTGCAAACTGAGCACTTTTCATCATGCTTCTGCTCAAACCAGCTCTTGGCTGAGCTGAGCTCCAGCTGAGCTCTAGCTCTCAGTGATGGTGGCTCTGGATAACCTGGCTCAATTCTGGCGGGCCAAGGGCAAAAGCCTTTTGGATGCAGTTTATCTGGCAAATCTATTTCCATGTGCTTGTTACCTCCTGTTCATCACTGAGCTGGAGCCAACAGCAAGGAGCAAAAGCACGGATGCTGAGGAGGTACCTGCCCTTTCCCCCCTCGTGGCAGGGGTCCTTTCCCAGCATCCCCATGATGCTGCAAGGCTGGCACTGCAAAGAAATCCTCTTCCTCCACCATTTCCACTTCTCCTCCTCTCTCCCCCGCTCCTCTCCAGGCGGATGGTTAATTTTTAACAGCCCATGCTGCCGTCGGGGGCCAGCGGCAGTGGCAGCCGGCAGAAAGCGCTCCTGACGAGGCAGCACCTCGTCAATAAAAGATGGACCCTCCATTTGCGCTGCGCTTCCCCCTCCTCCCCGAGAGAGCTGCTTGGCTTCACACCCCATGAACAGCACAGCACATGGCATCCCAGCCATGCTGCAGGGGCAGCCAGGGGGTCTGGAGCCCTCATGCCACGCTGGCAGCCGGATGGTTCGGCGCCAGGAGCGATGGGCATGGTCCAGACCCTGAGAGCAACCCCAGCCCTCCCTCCTCCCTCACCACCTGCCCCACCACAGGTACCAGCAAAAGTAGGAAGGCAGAGAGAGGAATCTGGGCAAAGACAGGACCCCTGCCAGCCTTCAGCTCCGTTTGGGAGCCTTCCCTAAATCTCAACCCTGAGAGCAACCCCAGCCCTCCCTCCTCCCTCACCACCTGCCCCACCACAGGTACCAGCAAAAGTAGGAAGGCAGAGAGAGGAATCTGGGGAAAGACAGGACCCTACCAGCCTTCAGCTCCATTTGGGAGCCTTCCCTACATCTCGGGGAGCGGGGAGTGAGTGCCTGTGAGCCGGGTGGAGTTAGTGGTGCAGCGAGCACCGAGGGGAAGGGGGGCCGGGCAGGGTGAGCGGTGGAGGCGGATGGGTCGGAATTACCTGGGCGTGCAGCGAAGCGGGATAGGTGAAAGCAGGAGGAGGTAGAGCAGGTGCTAATTCCGCTGGGTACAGAGGGTACGGCCCCCACACTTCAGGGCTACTGGGGTAAAGTGCAGGCACTGTGAGCTCATCTGCAAGAGAAGAAGAGGGAGAGTTAATGGTGACCAGAGGGCTGTGACCCTCGCCGCATCCTTCCTCCTCCCCTTGATGCAGGAGCAGAGCTGGCCATGGAAAACTGTGAGATGCCACCACTGAGAGCCGGCTTGCAAAGCCAACACAGAATTCTCCCGCTGGGATAACACAGGGTGAGCAATGCTACGGGGCTGGGGGCATCGCTCAGGGAGCCGGGGCTGGGCTCCTTGTCTCCAAGAGGTTTAGTAAAACCAGGGATCCAGCAGAGGGGAGTGTGCAGCTCGTGCCTGTGTGCGACAGCAGGGTGAGGAGCTGGCGTCTGTGCAAGAAGCTCTTCCAGAAGCGGAAACGGGCACGGAGCGCTCACGGCAGGGCATCGCCGAGGTCTCTCCTGAGACCTCATCCTGCTGGCTGTCACCTGTCCCAGATCCTGTCCTTTGGGAACCCACCAGGCAGCAAGCAGGTACCAACGCTCCCAGTGGGACCTGGTGTTCCCTTTGGCCACCCGCTCAGGGTATCCCCGCTCCTTCCAGCCCCTGGCGCCTGCCAGCCCGAGCCCTGGGGTACTCACAGGGCTCCCGGGCGATGAACTGAGGTACGGCGGTGGGGAGAGGGGTGCTGGGATTTGGGGTGCCCACCAGCTTGTTCTTGGCCATCTTGGTGTTGGCCTTGGCAAACTCCAGCCGCAGCGTCTGGGGGATCTCGGGGTCGAAGCGGATGCCCTGCGGGAAGGAAGGAGGGAAGGAGGCGCGGCGGGTGGGCGAGCACCGCCGCGTGCCGGCCCCGCAGCAAAAATAACTCCCCGTTATTTATGGGTTTTTTCAGCTTGCAGCCCTGAAATGAGCTAATTTGCCGGGCCCCGAGGCGGCTCGCATTCCTCCGGCATCTTTAGCATCGGCACCATATTTGGCAGTCGGCGTCCCGCAAGGCCGAGCTCTTATCCAGAGGGATTAGTGGAGCCAAAAAAAAAAAAAAAAAGTTTTACATTGAAAATGAAGAGAAGGACAAAAAACAACCCCGAACCAAAATGCAGGGAGAGCTGGGGAGGAATTGGAGAACCAGCTCCACACAGTTCTGCCTGTGACTATTTTCAGGTAACTTAACAAGTTGCGAAAAGAAGGTGAAATTTGTTTTTTTCTTTTGCAGACTTAGCTGGGATTTTTCCTGCTGAATAAACAGGAGAAGCTGGGAATGTTCTTTCTCACTCATATCTAAGGCTCAGGTCCTGAGTATTCAAGCCCTCCTGGATGGCCCTGAAAAAGGTGAGAGGGATGCAGCCCCCCTCACCAGGAGGGAAATGGAGCTGAGAAACAAGATTATCTGGAGGGATGGGGATGCCGTGGGGCCGGCTGGCATGGGATGTGCACATCCTAGGGATGGAGGAATTCAGAGAGTCTCTGGGGACAGGGAAACAAGGGGAAAATGGAGCAATGTAGCGGCTGAGCCAGGCGCACTCACGTTCAGCGCGTTCTTCGCTGCCTCCGCCTCGGAGCGGCTGTCGAAGCTGACGAAGCCCACGGGCTGTGGAGGAAGGACAGGAGTCATCAGTCAGGTTCCTGGGGAGCAGAGAGGGGGAGCCCCTGACCCCAGGGAATGGTGGGATGGTTACACCATTTGGAGCAGCCCCTACCTGCTTGGAGGTGAGTTTGATGAGAGACCCTTCGTACCCCTGCAAGGAAAGGATTAAAAAGGGTTTTTGGTGCAATTAAATAATAGTAATTAATAGTAACTGAATAAACTGACTGAAGTAAACTTCAGTGGGTTCCCAGATGGTTTAGGGCCATGGGGCTGGGGCAGAGACCAGCCCCATGCTTTCAGCCCCCCTTTCCCTCCCCAGTGTGATACCTTGAAGGGTCTGAAGAGCAGGTAAAGTTCCCGGGGCTTGATGTCCAGAGGCAACCCACTGACAAAGAGTGTCCTCACCTGGAAAAGAAGAAAGGAGCTTCCTGGGGACCCTCTCTCATCCCTAACTTGGGGATACACCATGCTTCCCATAGCCAGAGGGACAATGCCAGCCCAAGGGGAACCTCCTGGGCAGACAAAAGCCTTAAGCCAATGTGTCGGTTTTGCATCACCGGAGTGATGCTGAATTTTTGGGATGGTGGCCCCATCCTGCATGTGGCCATGGAGGAAGCTGCTAAGGAAAGGTAACAGAGACCTGTCCTCACCCCAGCAGATCTCCAGGATAAAAAGCTCACAGAATCCCAGCACCTTCCTACCCCGGTCTGGCAAACAGGATTTCTGCCGTCATCCCCAGCGGATCCTGGACTCCACAGACAATGCCTATTGTCTCAGTTTAATTGCAGCAGCTCATTAAGGACTGGGAGAAGCAAACACCAACTCTTCCTCCTGGAGGAAAGGCCCTGGTTTAGAGGGGGCTGGATTTAAGCAGCTTGTCCCTGGTTTGTAAAAGTCACCTTTTAAGGGGTTTTAACCCTTTTTTGGGTGGATCTAATGTTTATCGTGGTGCATCGTCCTCAAAGCTGGGGTGTTTGGCAGAAATTCTGTTCCCACCACCCTGAGGGGGGATGTGGGGCTCCTGCAGGACGGGCAAACACTGTGCTGGGATGGTTTTGCTTTACAACCAGCTTGCAACCTTGAGAGCAGTGTGGGGAACTGAACCTGCTGTTCCTCTCCTTATTCCCAAAATCTCATCCTAACCCTTTGGGCTGTAGAAGGGGAAAACCTCAATGTAATTTATTAAAATTTTTGGCCAGGCACCCTGCCTGCCCCATTCCCTGGGAAAGAGACATGGGAAACAGCCAGAAACAGCCAGCCCAGACCTATTCTTTTGCTGACATTTCTTCTTTCTCTTGCAGATAAGCTATCTCCCCCATCTCCCAGCCTGGGAGCAGCAAACATTCCTGCTTTGTGGAACAAAACCTCTGGCTGACCTATATCTATTAAATAACAAAAGGTACTCAGCTGTTTGCACACAGCCCTTGTGTCAACAGCCCCGGTGATACCCATCCTGCGTGCCAGCATTATCATCACCATCATCATCATCCTCCCAGTGGGTACCAGCATCCAGGCTGGATGAGATCAGCAGAGAAGGGATGTCCTCACCCCTTCCTGAGCCAGGGCTCAGGAAGCCTGTCCCCTCTCTTGGGACCATCCCCACAGCTCCTTAGGGGACCCCTGCCCGCTTTCTGCCTGTCTGCTGAGAGCCGGGAGTGATGGAGCATCCCACAGTGTTCAGTGGAGACATTGCCCCAGTTTCTCCTGGCAGGGGCTAGGGAGGGATTCACCTGGAGGATCTCCCCTTGTGTCCATGAAATTCAACCTAAAGAAAGCAACCTTTTCCTTTCCTAGGCTAAAAAATACTGGATTTCAGACAGGTCCTCCTGAGCACGGCTGCTGTCCAGGGAATCGGCTCTCCAGACACATCCACCCTCCCAGGTGGGTTTACATCCCAAGCATCCCTGCAGGGTGTCCCCTGTCTCCCTGGAGCCATCCCTGCCTTCCTGCCTCCCCTCTCCCTGGGGAGCTCCAGGAAACACTAGGGACCACTGGGAGGGACTGGGAGGAGTGGGGAACTCACTGCCAGCTTGCATCCCTGAAATCCAAACCGTGCATGCCCAAGCCTGCCAGACCACTTGCCCCCAAAGCCACGTGGGAGAGAGAGACAGAGATGAAAGATCCCAAGGAACCCTCCGAATTTTAGCCCCACAGAGGAAGAGCTTCTCTTCTCTAATGACTTTGTTTTCTTTGCGAGTTCAAACGCGGGTCGGCCAAGTTTGAATCTGTAAAATTATACAGCAGCAAGAGGGAGAAGGGCTCCAAAGGATCCCCCAGCTGGATTCCAGCCCCAAAAGAGTTTTTGGGGCCCAGGGCAAGAGATGGATACGAGCTCCTGGGTGCTCCCCATCTGCACCTCACAAATGCACCCAGCCCCAAGGATGCTGGAGTAGATCCTACATAAACAGAATCCTTTCACTGGGTAAGGAGCAGGTGGGACTGGCAGAGCAAGGCAGCATCCTTGGGGATAATCCCAGCAGGCTGGACAGATACCCTTTTGCCAGGGGAAAGATTCTAGACAAAAATATTACTCCTGCCCTTAAATGGAAGGGGAGCTTTGGCCCACAGGGAGCTGCTCCAGGTTTTTTTGTGCTGAAATCCCAGGGATTCAGTCCCCATCCTCTACCAGAAACACTCCTAGGGCAAAATCCTTCTCTGGAAAAAAAAAAAAAAAAAAAAAAAAAAGCAGCCTTATCAGAGAAATTGCCAGGCAGCAGGCACGTATCTGTTCTTCCACAGGGAAGAATTGCTCCTTCAGAGAGGTGGATCAGGCACGGCGCCTGCTCGCAGGGATGTCATGGGACAGGGCCAGACTGACAGCTCTTGAGCAAGGATTAAAGGGCACTGGAGCATGGGATTCCCTCAGCCTAAACCCCACAGTATTTTTGGACAGCCTGAGCTGTTTCATTTCTGCTGTACGAACATCTTTCAGTTTCTATTTGGTGGAGAATTTCTCCATCTCTCTTTCTTCTTGAAATTTGGGGTGAAACCAAAGATTTTTTAAAAGTTATAAGTGCCAATGTTTGCTCCAGGAGGAGCTCAAAGGTGACCACCTTGACTTCCTTCCATGGGGATGGCAGCTATGGGACTGCTCCAAGTCCCTTTCCACAGTTCTCCTCTGCTGCTGCATCCCATAGCTCCCAAATTTCCCTGGGCTGTTGGATTCTACCTATGTTGCCTCACTCCTAGCGTGTCCCCTCCTGGCTTTTTATTTTCCCTGCAGGATGTCTGCTCTTCATCTGTACTACTCTCCTCTTCCTTGGAAATCTTCTCCATCCTCCTTCTGGCCTGTCCCTCTCACCTTTACATCCCACCATCCCAGTCTGTTGTCCCCGAAATCCTGCATCTCCTCTTGGGCCAGTTTAAGGGATGCTGGAAAGGATCTGTGGAGATTTGCCGAGATGGTCATGGCTGAGGACATGCAAGGAGAGGCAAAGATCTGGCCCAGGAGATCACTGAGGTCTCCAGAGCATGGATCAAAGATGACCCCAGCATGGTGAGCTCTGTGATGGAGCGCCAGCAGCCCTCCTCCTCCTCTTCCTCACATGAAGCCACAAGCCAGGTTTGTCTCCTGCAGGTAAGGGGCATTTGCTTGGCTTGGACCCCCATGACACAGCGGTGCCCAGAGGGATCCATGGTGCCCTGCCAGCACGGTCCCAGTCCCCTGCCCTGCCGTGCCGTGCCGTGCCCGAGCCAGCCCCGGTAAACGTTAACAGGCCGTGGGGAGGCGGGGAGGCGTCCGGGTGATTCATCCACGAGGCATTTAATCGCCTCCTTCAGCCCAGCTCCCATCCCTCTGTCCGTCCGTGCGCCCCTTCCAGCGGGGCTCGCTTTAATTCTCCACCAGCCGATTATCCGCTTGACTGCCCGCCGCCGGGGAGGCACCGGATCCCGGCGGTGGCAGCGGGAGGGCGATGCCACGGAGCTGCCATGGAGCAGGGCTTCCCCTCCCATTCCCGGCAAAGCGGGGTGCTGCCTCCCCCGCGGCAGGGGGCATTCCCACCCCGCCGGGATTAGTCCTGGCATAAATAGTCTCTTGGCTAATGGAGCGTCTTCCTCGGCTGGGTTTAGATTCCCGGGCTGTGTGTACGCATGCCTTCAGCCCGCAAAACTCCCCGACATAAACAAGGCTGGGGCCGAGGGATGCCGGGGGATGCGGGAGGACCGGCACCGATCTCCGGCCTCGCCACCCGCAGCGGCTTTGCTGGAAAATCACGGTTCTCTCACGTCCGGTGAAGGACGGGAGGAGAGGAACAGCCCTTGGGGGGGAAAAGCGAGTCCAGAGCTGCCGGGGCTGGAACGAGGAAGCGGCAGAGGAAAAGGCAGTGAGCAGCCAAGGGAGCAGATGGGGGATTGCAACAGAGCGGAGGAGCGGCGGGATCAGGCGCGGGTCACACTCGTCCCTGTCCCGCCCGGAGCTTGCTCCCAAACCCTCCCGACCCCGCGCTTCAAGGAGGAAAGGAAGCAGGAGCACGGGGGGGATGCCACACAGGGGCCACGGGGGTAAATTTTATCCACTCGCTGGGCACATTCCCCCTAGGAAGCATCCCTGGGGCCCCCTCCCCGTGGCACGGTTCCCCCGGGATGAGGGATCTGGCATGGGATGGGGACGAGGGCCACGAGCCGGGCTCTCCGCAGCCGCTCCGCTACCAAATAAGGCCTCCGCCGAGCCTTTTACATGCCGTTCTCGCCCGGCCGAAGTGACGTGACCGCCTTCCCAAATTGTTCCGGCTCCTCCGTGGGGAAGCCCCTGGCCCACAGCTCCCCTGCACGGGGGGGTCCTTCCCGGGGGGACAGCCGAGAGGGACGGGGAAGGCGCCTGGGGTGCCAGGGAGGAGCGGGCATGAAGTGGGGGCTTTTCCCACCTGGCAGCCACCCTGAGTGACCTCCCCGGGGTGGGGGCTGCTTCTCCTTCTCTTCTGAGGGAGCAGGAGGCTGGAAGACAAGCCCTGGGAGGGGGGAGGAGAGGCACAGTAGCTGGGCAACCCCTTTCCCTGCGCTTGAGCAAATAGGCAGCACCGGCTCCTCCAGCCTGGGCTGGAACAAGTCCTGCAGGGAAAATACCTGCCTGGCACCGGAGCAGCGCGGCTTGCAGGCAGGAGCGGGCATCGCCCACCTCGCGTGTCCCTGGCACCTCCCAGCCGTCCCCTCGGGGTGTTCCCCATGTCCGCCATCACCGGGTCAGGGGTCCCCAAGGATCAGCAGGGCAACAGCCAGCCCCGGGCTCTCCGGATCCGCCCGGGAGCGGAGCGAGGGCTGCCCTTTCCATGCTTTTGGAAAAGGCAACAGGCCTCCATGGGTGTCACCCACCGCCGTGCCCAACAGAGCCGCAGCCACATCCCCCACGCACCCCGCAAGGCCGCCGGGTGAAAGAAATCCCCGTTTTTTGTGAAACTTTGGGAAGTTTGAAGCCAGAGCCGCCTCTGGAATAAGCAAGTGAAGGCAGGCAGCGGGCGGTGGAGCTGCGGGGATTGATCCCAGCGCCGGCCACCGAGCGGGGAGCCCAGCAGGGACCTGCTGGAGCAGCCGGCCGGGTGGAGGCTAAGGAGGAGGAGGCGATCTCAGACAGGAATCTTCCCGCTCTCAGCCTCACAAAGTCCAAATTCCCATCTCAAGGTCACGGGCAAAACCAGGAACTTTGCGGCTGGAACGAAGAAAACCAGCTCTCACCGTGGCGGGGTGTGGGCTTGGTCTCCCGTGGGGATGGGAGCGTTTCGGGCATTTTTGGGGGTGAGACCCGTGCGAAAGAGATGCGCGGCCGCTGGCTGCACGGTACCCACGGGCACCGGCAGCACCGGGGCCGGGGGCAGCCTGCTTTATCCCCCACGCCCCCCGGGGATATCCGCGTCTCGCGTGGGGCTCCCCGCGCCCGCAGGTTTCCCTCCGGCGAGGCGGAGCGGCGTTCGCGGCGAGCCCCAGGGGGATGCGGGAGAATGGGAGCGTCCCGGGGATGCGCTCCCGCCGCTCGTCCCTGTACGGGTACCGGGAGCCCCGCGGCGCGGACCCCCCATCCCGCGGGGGAGGGGGAAGCCGGATCCCCTCCGCCCCAAACCCCCGGTGTGCGTGTGTGTCCCCCCGGTACCTCCTCCTCGGGCAGGCTGGTGTCGGCGGGGCCGCCCTCCCTGTCGGCGGGGACGCTGCTCATGGTGCGAGCGGCCAGGCTCCTCGTCCCGCCGGCGGCAGCCGCGTCCGGGCGGGCGGTGCTGGGGGCTGGGTCCCGGCGGCGGCGGGGGGAACGGGGCGGGGCGGGGGCGGGGGCGGACCGGGCCGCGGGGGGATGGAGGAGCGCAGGGATACGGGAGGTGGGAAGGCGGGACGCCGGGCTGGGGACAGGGGATACAGTGCCGGGAACAGAAGACACGAGGCCGGGGCCACAGGACACGGAGCTGGGAATGCAGGACAATACTGGAGACACGGAACGCGGTCTAGGACATGGGGTTGGGGATACCGGCTACGAGGTTGGGGACACGGGGCACAAGAACGGGGAGGTGGACACAGTCTCAGGGACATGGGACACGGGCTGGGGGTGTAGGACAGGACTGGGCAAGAGGGGACACACTCCTGGGGACACAGGACGCAAGGTTAAGGATACAGAACACCAGGCTGGGGACATGGGGCGCAGTCCCAGGGACATGAATGCATCAGGGCTGTGGGGCAGAGGAGGGGACAGTGCTGGGGACACCCAGTGTAGGGCTGGGGGCGCTGGAAGGACCAGTGGGAGCTCATCACCCCAACCAGCCCCACCTGGGTGCTCAACCCCTCCCTGCCCGGCCCCGGGAACTGCATTTAGGCTTCATGCTTAGGCTGGGCTTTTGCTGAGCCTGGCATTGTGTACATTTCCTTCCAGAGCTCGGTGTTGGGTGGTTCCAGCCCTGCACAGCCCCGGGAAGGAGGCTGTGCTCCCGCAGGGCTGCGCTCAGCGTGACGAGACCCTCGGGCTGGGGACCGCCTGCCTTTGGTCCAAACAGACCTGGGGACAGCTGCCCGCCTGTCCTGCGGCTGCCCAGGGGACACAGCCCTGCCACCCACAGGTTTGCAGCAGCGATTCGCAGGGCGGAAGCTCTCGGGCTGGGAGGGAGGAGGAAATGAGCTGCACCAGATGGATTTGGGGGAGTGGGAAGCGTCTGGCTACAAGGGCATCTGACCCCAGAGCACAGGGATTGATGCAGTCACCCAAATCTGCTGGAGCCTCTGGCTCTTGGGGAAGATTTTCAGCAAGGGGAGAATTTAGAGATGTGTTTTATCTCTGTGTTTTTCCCCTCCACAGGCATCTGCACAAAAAGCTCTGGCCGGACAGCGGGTGGATACTCACAACCCTTATTTGGACCCAGCTTTGGGGAAGAGCTGCAGCTCCCCAGCAGCGCTGGAAGCCAGGTTGGAATCACAAACCGGAAAAAGGGGAGGTTTGGATTTTTTGTAGCCATGAAGCTGGACTTGGGGAGAAAATCCAGTTTGCTCCAGCAGATATTGCACTGCTTCCTTGTCTTGAAACCCCCAGTCCCAACCCAAAGCCCCATGTCCCACCAAAACTGGGGTTCCTCTGTGGTAGTTGCTGATCCTCTCCCCCCCTCTCCCTCTTTCCTACAGGAATTCCTGCTGCATCGATGTCCATCTGCGCTGGGACACAACGCTGGACTGTGTCGCACAGGGATAGAAGGGGAAGCTGTGAACAACCGGGGACTCTGCTGGGAAGCGTGGTGAGTCCCGAGGCTCCAGTGGAACGAGCGCACAAGGTTCAGCTCCGCTCTGGGAAGGAACCCGAGCAGGAGCAGCCTTCGGGGGAAGGGGCAGAGGGTCGGTGGAGCCTTTCCCATCCCGGCTGGATCAGGGACCCCCGAGGAGCGCGGGGTCACACCGCCCTCTGCTGTCGCGACGGGAGAGGTGGCACCGCGCGGGGCTGTCCCCGGCGGGGCGCGGTGACACCGAACGCTCAAAGGGCCGCGGAACAGGAGATATTTTATTCCCGAAACAGAGCACGAACAACGGAGTTAATGAGCGAGAGACAACAGACTCGAAGCAGGTCCCAGACTCCCAGTGGAAGATAAATAAATGACACAAGCAAGGAAGAAACGCTTTGCTGGAACGAGGGACGTGGAGGCCGGACTCTTCCCGCGGCGTGCAGCGCTTCCCAGGACCGACCTCTGGAAGCGCCAGCTGGGCGCTCAGCTCTTGACAGGCGTGGCCGCGGCCTTCATGGTCTTCTTCAGGTGGTGGTAGTTGGGCAGGATCTTCATCAGGAAATCCAGCTGCAGCGTCTGGGGCTGGAAAGGGAGGGCAGGGGCAGGTGAGGGAGCAGCGAGGGGCGCGGAGGCGGCAGCGCGTCCCGCGGGCTCACCTGCGGCCGCTCGGTCTGCACGCGCCGCAGGCAGTCGGCGCCGTAGATGACGGTGTTCTCCGGGATCACCTCGTACGTGTTCACGTTGCAGCAGGCGCCGATGATGCAGCCGCTGGTCAGGATCACGTTCCTGCCGACAAACGCTGCCCGGGGAGGGGGAGGCAGAGGGAGTCCCTGTGAGAGGTGTGCCCGCAGTTTGCGGCAGGGCCGAAGGCAGCGGGGCGGGAATTACCTTTGGATTCGATGACGTTGTTGTCCCCCACCTTCATGGCTTGGGAATCTGCAGGTCTGTGTTAAGGGAAACTGGGAAATGCTTTGCTTTTTTCCAACGGGTGGAAAACCCTGGTGCCTTTTTCAAACCACGCCCTGGGCTCTCTGAAGCCCCAGAGATGCCTCCCCACCTTGGAGGGATCCAGGAGCACAGTGTGCCGGATGGTTTGTCACGGCACAGCGAGGATACAGCACCCGACCTCAAAAACATTGTTGGTGCCAATGACCATGGGCTTGGGCTCCACATCTTCGCTCTCTGGGGTGATATTTTCGGGGTACCTGCAAGAAGGAAGAGCAGACTTCCACCTCTGAGATCGTGATCACAGTACTCCGTGGGGCAGCTCAACTTTGGGACAGACTGAAGCCACAGCTATCCCACCCAACTGAGCTGGACTGTCAGAATTTCGAGACTGACTAGGATCCTTAGGTTCTGTCAGCTTGAGAAGGATTCAGAAGGGGACTTAGCAACCATCCAGTATCTGAAGGGGACCTACAAGGAACCTGGAGAGGGATTCTGTCAGGAACTGGAGTGACAGAACAAAGGGCACAGACTTAAAGAGGGGAAAACGAGGTTAGGTATATTTAAGAAAATCTTTACTGTGATGGGGGTGAGGTACTGGAATTGTCCAAGGCAACACTGGCTGTCCCAACCCTGGAAGTGTCCAAGGCCAGGTTGGACAGGCTTTGGAGCAACCTGGGACAGTGGAAGATATCCCTTCAAACACTTAATATTTAATAATTCTCCGATGCTGCGGCTTCCCCCCAAGCCACAGTGCCACACGTACACACAAAAGCACGAAATCTGGTGATTTTTTTTTTTTTAAATCTCTACCTCCCCGTGGTTTTTAAGCCCCCCCGGGAGCCGCACGGACCCGTTGATGATGAGCGCCTGCTCCTCGATCAGGTTCCCCTCTCCGATGACGATGGGCCCCGCCTCGGCGATGATGCGGGCCTTGGGATGGATGACGGTCCTGGGCCCTGCGGGGACAGCCCGGTGTCACGCCGGGCCCGCCCCGGGCAGGGGCCGGCGGGGGTGCGACAGGCCCTTACCGATGGTCACGTCCCCGCGGATCTCGCTCTCCACGCACACCACGGCGCCCGGCGCGATCTTCACGCTGCGGGGAGCGACGGGGCGGTCACGGCGGTCCGCCCACGGACCGGGCCGAGACGGGGGGAGGGGACACCGCGTCCCGGGGCGGTCGCGGGGGGGAACCGGGAGGGATCGGGGCGGGAGGGGACTCACCTCTTCTGCGCCTTCTCCGCCATGGCCGCGGCCCGCCGCGCCTGCGCGGTGCGGGGCTCGGGGCTGCGAGGGGCGGGGCCAGGGGCTGTGGTGGGCGGGGCCAGGGCAGCGGGGGCGGGGCCAGCCCGGTGGCGCCACCGCGCGGCCGCCGCCGCTGCCCCGGTACACCGGGATCACCGGGATCCCCGGGAAGGCCCCACCCGCCGCAGGTGAGGAACAGCCGGGCAGCTGCGAGGAGAGACCGAGCCCCGTGTTTGGGGGTTCACACAGCGCCCTGCGTGTTCGTGCTTGAGAAACAGACAGCGAGCCCCGTGTTTGGGGGCACCAGGGTCTTTTGGCCCGCCTTGGGATACTGGGAATATTTAGGGGACTGAAATAAATAAATCAGCCTTTTTTTTATTTATTTTTTTTTTTCTCCTCGGAAATGGAGACCAAGTTCTGTGTTTTTTGGAGGGGTTCCAAGGCCCCTTGGAGCGAGCCCCACGCCGGCAGCCTCAGGGCTGTGAAACAGACTCCAGCCCTGTCTGGGGAGTGCGAATGGAAGCTCATCCAGGCACTTGAGGGCTTTGGTCAGCCCAAATCCTGAGTTTTGGGGCTCGGGGCGGACCCCAGGCTGCCGGGGGGCGGGGCCGGGGGCGGAGCGAGGCAGCCCCAGGGCGGGGCTACGGGGGCGGGGCCGACACGGGTGTGAGAGGCGGGGCCACAGAGCGCATGCGCGGCTCCGGACAACACAGCGCGTGCGCAGCGCGGGGCCGACACAGGTGTGAGCAGGGCCAGCACAGGTGCGCGGGGCTCCAGGGCGGCTGCGCGGGGCGGGACCGAGGGCATTTAAACCCCGGAAGCCGCCTCAGGCGCCATTTTCTCCCCAGCGCCCGGAGGTGCCGCACGCTGCCGGTGCGGGCTCCTCATGGGCGGGGCTCAGGTGAGGTTCTCTCTGTCCCTCTTTTCTCTTCCTCCTACCCCTTACCCCTCTCCTGCCTAGTTCCCCATTCCCTCCTCTCCCTGACCCTCTATCCACCTCTACCCACGACTTCGCTCCGCTTTCTCCTCTCCTCTCCTCTCCTCTCCTCTCCTCTCCTCCTCGCTATTATCCAACCCGACCTCCCTCTAATCCCCCTACACCTCTCTCCCCCTGTACCCCACTGCTCCCCTACAAATCCTGACTCCTGTCTCTGTTCCTCCGCTTCTCTCCATCCTCCCTGCCCATCCCGCTCCTGCCTCCCTTTACCCTCCCCTCCTGCTCCCCTGTGCCCCCTCTTACCGTCCCTGTCCCCCTTGTCCCCACTTAGCCTCTGTCCCTTCTCCCCCGTCCCGCGCTCTGTGGCGCCGCCCCTCCGCGCCCCCCGTGCCGCTGTCCCGGGACCCCCGCTCGGCGCCGTGCGAGCCCCGGGGCCGCTCCCGGCGGGGAGCGCTCGGAGCCCGGAGCGCTGCGGCGGGGCCGGCACCGGGGCCGGGCTGCGGGGACCGAGCGCTGCCGGGGGATCGCGGGAGGATGGAGGCGGCATCGGGCACGGGATCGGCATCTGGCCCGGATTGGTACTGGGCCCGGTTCGGTATCGGTACCCGATCGGGACCGGTATCGGGCGGGAGGAGCCGCTCCGGGCCCGGTGTGACGCTGCCGGCGGCGGGAGGCGGGCCGGGACAGCGGCGGTGTTTCGGTGTTTCCCCGGTGCGGACGCGGAGCCGGGGGCTCGGACCGGCACCGTGTGCTCGGGGCGGCCCGGCCTGGGGGGTTCCCCCCAACTCCCCCCCGGCCGTGGCACGAAAACTTGGCAGGAAGAGCTCATCCAGGCCATTCCATGAGTCCCCAATTATTTATTTTCAGCTCTCACACGTCAGCCATCCAGAACAGGACGTGGTTATCTCCTGCCTCGGCAGGATTTGTTCCCAAGCTGCAGTGCTGGGAGAAAAAGCTGGGATCTTCCATAAAAACCAGCTCTGTCTGCGTCCCAGGGAGTGAGGTCTGAGAGGGAACATCTGGTCCTAAGGCTGGGCGGATTTGGGAGCCAGGGGTCTCACGGCAGCACTGGATCTCCATCCCTCCCTGTGTGCTTCCCTCTCATCCTCAGGACAGTGAGGATCACTTCAGCTGGATCTTCTCCTCGGACCCTAGAACATGATCAGATATTGAATTGTCATTTTTTTAGGGACAAAGGGAAAGCTGCACTGTAGGGAGACCCCACAACACTCCCAGCAGAAATCCGGGATGGGGCTGCGAAGCAGAGACCCCAGCCTGGCAGTGGCAGGAATAAAACCTGAGGTGCAGCCTGGAGCTGAGCTTCCAAGGATAACAGCCGGCTTTTCCCAGCTTAGATGTGCTGACATCCCAAAAAAAAAGCGTCTCCCCTTCCTCAGGATCAGACACACAGGGCTTTCCACTCAGGGGGTGCACGGAGAGCTTTTCCTCCTCCTGCCGTTCGTGTTGCTCCCAGCATCCTTCACAGATCCCGAGGTTTCACGGCCACCCATCCCTGTTTTTCCAAGTTAATGATTTAAGCCGGCTGGATCCCTGAGGGGCTGGCAGCTGGCAGGCCAAGGATGCTTGCCCTCTGGGGTTAATCATTCTCCCGGCTGCTGACCCTGCCTCCATAAAAACTCGGGGATGGCATTCCCGGCAGGAGGAGGAGAGCCAGCTCCATCATGAGGGTGGCTCTGGCGCTGCTGCCGCTCCTGGCCGCTGCACAGGCGTTACACCGAGGTAAGGGAGACGATCCTGGGGCTTTGCTGGCCCTGGGATGAGAGGCACGGGGCAGTTCCTGCGGTTTTCCGTGGTCTCCCCTCTCCCAGCCTGCAGGCAAACCGCTGGGCAGGACCAGGGAGGGAAGGGAAGGGGTGGGAGGAGGGTTTGGGATGCAGGATGCCACTTTGGGGTGATGCTGGAGGGGGTGGGAGGGGGAGAGGACAGAGCCACAGGGATGGGGTCCATCTCTTTCTAGAGGAAAATGGGATTTCCTGACCCCCTGGCAAGCACCATTCCTGTAAAACTCACCCCTGGGTGGGAATGATGCTCTGCCACCCTTGGCTGCCTCCTCAGCTCCACAGGGAATCCCCACCTGCCAAAAAACCCCTCAAACTCACCTCTCCCACCTGGATTTGTACAAGCAAACAGAAATGCCACAAGTTGGGAGCGGGAGCTGACATTCCTGCCGGGAAAGAAACCCACCTGCTCCATGGCTTCCCCTTTTCTGGGAACCCCCTGCCTTGACCCTGCTCCGCCATTCCCAGCGGAGTGATGTGACCCTCAGAGTCCTGACCCTGGGCTTTGGGGAGGTGACCCTTCCCCACGCTGCAATCCCAGGGAACACCGGGATCAGTGTTTGCCCTGCTGGTGCCAAAGTCTGGCCCCACACGGTCTGCGACACGAATCGATCGCGCTTTTCCAAGGATGGCAGAGCTTCTGGGAATGTTTTCACTGCTGGCTGCTCCGTGGACCTGGCCCCAGAGCTCCCAGAGCCCTTTTGGTTTCCATAAAACCCAACCCTACATATTCCATACTCCAAAAACATCCTATGATTTACCTGTAGCTCTCCCAGCTCCAGGAAGGGTTTTCTCCCTGCTCCGTTCCCTGGCTGCGGGGCTGGAGCAGCAGCCTGGATAGCAGGGATGCTTCTCCCAGACCGGCTGTGCCAACATCTCCCCAGGGACCACCAAATCCTCCTTGGAAAAAGAAGCAATGGAGTGAAAAAAAATGAACAAATCCCAAGTGAATTAAGCAGCGTGCCCTGTGGTGGCAGAGCGTTCCTTGTTCCCTACTCACAATTCCTCCTCCTCCTGCACTTTCAGGGAAAGCTTATGTCCGGGAGAAAGTCTGCCAGGAGTACAAGATCCTGGGAAAGGAGAACTTCAGAACCATGTAGGTACCTCCTGCTGCCGGACACCTGAGCCAAGAGCAGACAAAAGCAAATAAAAACCTTGGGAAAGGGCATTCAGGGAAAGCTTATGTCCGGGAGAAAGTCTGCCAGGAGTACAAGATCCTGGGAAAGGAGAACTTCAGAACCATGTAGGTACCTCCTGCTGCTGGACACCTGAGCCAAGAAAGCAGACAACAGCAAATAAAAACCTTGGGAAAGGGCGGATGGATTCAATCCATCAGAAAGGGGAGATGCAATCCAACCCCTGGGCTCTGATTGCTTTTAGCAGGAGAAAAGTTGGATTCCTTGTTGGATTCCTCAGAGCCAATTAAGTACCTAAATGATTAAGGATTCTCACAGAGCTGACACACAGCCCCCCGTAAGTGGCAGCCCCCAGCCTGGAAGCTCTTCCCATTCCTTCCTGGCTGTTTTCCAGGGAATACACTGTAATTTCTCTCTGCACCACAGCCGGCACCGCTAAACCCATTTGGGCAGAACAAATGTTTTGTTTTTTTTCTGATTCCTGATGGAAGATAAAGGCTCACCTGGCTCTCCCTGTCCCTGCTCCCAGGACCATCGTTGCCAACAGCCGCAAATATTCCAACGGCACCTTCGAGGAGATCAGCAGCCTCGTGCGGGAAATCGTCTCCCTGGCCGAGACGTGCTGCGCCGACGGCGCTGACCCCTCCTGCTACGACAACGGGGTGAGCCTGCCCAAAAATTGCTAACAGACCCCAAAAACAAACGGCTAAAGGGAAGGCACGGCAGTAACCCGCCATCCCTCCTGCAGTCCACGGCGCTGTCGGAGAAATCCTGCAGCGCGGGCTCGCCCTTCCCGGCGCATCCCGGCGCGGCGGAGTGCTGCGCGCGGCAGGGCCTGGAGCGCAAGCTGTGCCTGGCAGCGCTGCGGCACCCGGCCCCGCCGGGGCTGCCCCGCTACCTGCAGCCCTCCGACCGGGAGCTCTGCCTCTCCTTCCGCGCGGACCCCCGGGAATTTGCCGACAGGTGAGCCGGCGCGGGGAGAGCGCTGGGGACGGCCCGGCGCCGAGGCGCGGGGTGTCCCTATCCCGTCTGTGCCGCAGGTTTCTCTATGAGTACTCCAGCAGCTACAGCCAGGCTCCCCTGCCCGTGCTCCTGGCCTCCACCACCTCCTTCCTCTCCATGGTCTCCACCTGCTGCATCTCCCCTGCGCCCGCTGCCTGCTTCCTGAAGGAGGTGAGACCCGCTGGAGCGCCCGTGCTCGCTGCCCCGCTCCTCACGGCGCTCATTCCCATTCCCATTCTCTTTTTGCGGCAGAAACTGGAGAGGAAAACCCTCTCCCTACTCACCCTGACGTCAAACCGGATTTGCTCCCGCTTCTCGGCCTACGGCAAGGACAAAGTCAGCTTCAGGTACGGCGGGAAATGGCCTCTCCATCCTGGCACGGGGGCAGGGCTCCTCTCTCCTGCTGCAGACCCTGTCGGCAGGCAGCATTCAGGAACACAAGCTTTGATTCTGGTGCACAGGAGCAGAGCCAGCCCTGCCCTCCCCATCCCCTCCCTCCCTCCCCCCGGCTCGGAGCTGTTTCCTGGGAAGCTGCTGGATGTTCCCAGCTCCCAGCCCCACGCACCCTGTGCTCCCCAGCTACCTGGCCTCGCTGGCCCAGAAGGTTCCCACTGCTCCCTTCGAGGACCTCCTGCCCCTGGCCGAGGACGCTGCCGAGGTGTCCTCCCGGTGCTGCGACTCCCTGGCCGAGGACTGCATGCAGAAGAAGGTAGGGAGGGCTGGAGCCCAGCCCGGAGCAGCTCCCGGCTGCCAGCAGGAGCTCGGGGAGCTCAGAGCACCTGCCCAGGCCCTGCTCCCTCTCTGCAGCTCCTGGAGCACACGGCCAAAGTCTGCGCGGCGCTGGCGGCCCGCGACGCGCGCTTCGCCGGCTGCTGCAAGGGGAAGAACCTGATGGAAAACCATTTCTGCATCCTGGCCATGCTCCCAGCGCCGGCTCCCGAGCTGCCGGAGCCGCCCGAGCCCACCAACAAGGAGCTGTGCGCCAAGGACGGGGCTCTCCATGCCACCAGGTGAGCGGCAGCCAGGGGGCAGTCATGGAATAGAACCATTTTGGTGGGAAAAGATCCCTAAAATGATCGAGTCCGACCACTTCCTGACCCTGTTACACGCTTAGCTTTTTATGGGGATAACCAGGGGAGCATCCTCAGTTCCCTCAGGGGAATTGGTGCCAGCAGGGGCGGCACAAAGACGCCAGGGAAAACTCAGGGGAGCTCCCGTTTCCTCGTTTCCAGGTTCCTGTTTGAGCTGGCCCGCAGGCACCCCAACCTCCCCGACGCCGTCCTCGCCAAGCTCTACGACTCCTCCGGGAAGCTCCGCGGGGAATGCTGCTCCTCCAAGGACCCCTCCGCCTGCTGGGACAGCAAGGTGAGGGGGCTCTGGGGGCTCATCCCTCTCCCCCTCACCCCAGTGCCCCCCAAATCCCGGTGACTCCCCCTCTGCCCCCAGCGCCGGCGGATAGAGGCAGAGCTCTTCCCCTTCCTGCAAAAAGCCAACCAGCTCTGCGGGCAGCACAACCAGCTGCCTTTCCTTGACTTCAAGAAGAGGTGAGCTTTCCCTTCCTCCCCACAAAAACCCACCCAGCGACGCCGAGGACGCAAAACCGCGTCCCCGTCCCCCGTGTGACCGCGCTCCCCACGCCGCAGGCTGCGGGACAGCCTGGCACAGGCCGAGCCCCGGCCCGGCCCGGAGCAGCTGGAGCAGCTCCTGGAGCAGCGAGCATCCTTCGCCTCCACCTGCTGCCTGCCGGCCGCTCCGCCGCTGCTCTGCGCTTCCAAGGTCAGCTCGGAGCTGGGGGAGCTGTGCCAGAAGGGCTCCTGCCTGCTGGGATAGCGGCCCCTTGTCCAAGGATGGCGCACGGATGGAGGGGAGAGCCCTGGGGGGCACGGGAAGGGGCTGGAGGAGGCCCGGCAGGCGGGAGGTGTCGCCGAGCCGGCGCCTTGTATTCCTGCAGCCGAAATAAAGACAAGGAATGTTCTCCTGCAGCCGAAATAAAGACAAGGAATGTGCCCTGCGGGAAGGCTTTGTGCACCCTCGGGGCGGCGCGGGGGGGGTGGGAGAGGGGCACAGCTTCTCCTCCGCGGGCAGGAAGGGATCCCAGCCCTGACCCTGGGAGATAAAGCCCTAAAAACTAAGCGAAAGCAGGGAAAAGACTCCTCAAATGCCCCCAAGGAGAGCAGCCCGTGGGTGTTGGGGTATTCAGCTGCCTGAGAGGGGCACCCTGGCCCCCCCAGCTCCCCGCCTGCCCAGCCCGAGCTGCCGGAGCCGCCCGAGCCCACCAACAAGGAGCTGTGCGCCAAGGACGGGGCTCTCCATGCCACCAGGTGAGCGGCAGCCAGGGGGCAGTCATGGAATAGAACCATTTTGGTGGGAAAAGATCCCTAAAATGATCGAGTCCGACCACTTCCTGACCCTGTTACACGCTTAGCTTTTTATGGGGATAACCAGGGGAGCATCCTCAGTTCCCTCAGGGGAATTGGTGCCAGCAGGGGCGGCACAAAGACGCCAGGGAAAACTCAGGGGAGCTCCCGTTTCCTCGTTTCCAGGTTCCTGTTTGAGCTGGCCCGCAGGCACCCCAACCTCCCCGACGCCGTCCTCGCCAAGCTCTACGACTCCTCCGGGAAGCTCCGCGGGGAATGCTGCTCCTCCAAGGACCCCTCCGCCTGCTGGGACAGCAAGGTGAGGGGGCTCTGGGGGCTCATCCCTCTCCCCCTCACCCCAGTGCCCCCCAAATCCCGGTGACTCCCCCTCTGCCCCCAGCGCCGGCGGATAGAGGCAGAGCTCTTCCCCTTCCTGCAAAAAGCCAACCAGCTCTGCGGGCAGCACAACCAGCTGCCTTTCCTTGACTTCAAGAAGAGGTGAGCTTTCCCTTCCTCCCCACAAAAACCCACCCAGCGACGCCGAGGACGCAAAACCGCGTCCCCGTCCCCCGTGTGACCGCGCTCCCCACGCCGCAGGCTGCGGGACAGCCTGGCACAGGCCGAGCCCCGGCCGGGCCCGGAGCAGCTGGAGCAGCTCCTGGAGCAGCGAGCATCCTTCGCCTCCACCTGCTGCCTGCCGGCCGCTCCGCCGCTGCTCTGCGCTTCCAAGGTCAGCTCGGAGCTGGGGGAGCTGTGCCAGAAGGGCTCCTGCCTGCTGGGATAGCGGCCCCTTGTCCAAGGATGGCGCACGGATGGAGGGGAGAGCCCTGGGGGGCACGGGAAGGGGCTGGAGGAGGCCCGGCAGGCGGGAGGTGTCGCCGAGCCGGCGCCTTGTATTCCTGCAGCCGAAATAAAGACAAGGAATGTTCTCCTGCAGCCGAAATAAAGACAAGGAATGTGCCCTGCGGGAAGGCTTTGTGCACCCTCGGGGCGGCGCAGGGGGGTGGGAGAGGGGCACAGCTTCTCCTCCGCGGGCAGGAAGGGATCCCAGCCCTGACCCTGGGAGATAAAGCCCTAAAAACTAAGCGAAAGCAGGGAAAAGACTCCTCAAATGCCCCCAAGGAGAGCAGCCCGTGGGTGTTGGGGTATTCAGCTGCCTGAGAGGGGCACCCTGGCACCCCCAGCTCCCCGCCTGCCCAGAGCTCTGGGGGTGCTGCAGGCCCGGGTTGGGATGCAGGAGGATGGCAAAGCCAGCCCAGGAAGCAGCAGGAAAATCCCCCGAGCCCAGAATTTGGGAGCTTTGTGTGCAACAAACACGGCCCGAGGACACCTGGGTGTGCAGAGATGAGCCAGGGCGATACAGCAGAGCCAAAGGCAAGAAGAACTCCCTGTTCAAGGCAGCTCTCCCTTCTCTGGGAGCACTGGCAGTCTCTGGATGGCTGCTGAGCTCCCCTGGAGTGTGAGAAACAAGGTGGATTGGGCTGGCACCATCCCTGTCCTGGACAGAAAAGGGAAACTGGTTTTGGCTTGGTTTTGGTTTTCATTTTTTGCCCCAAGGACCCCACTGACCTGGGACTGGACGTGCTGGTGCCAAGGCATGGATCCTCCTGTCACAGCCTGTCTTTGGCACCTATTTTCCAAAACATTGATTTCCAATTATTTCTAACTTACTTCCAATCAATAAGTTGGGTTTCACCTTGTTCTGTCGGGGTGAGTGACCCACATCTCAACGCTGTGCTCAGGTTTGCATCCTTCACGCTCTGAGAGCACAGGGTAAGGGCTCACCATCCCAGTGACCTGGAATTCCAAGGAAAACTGGAGAAATGCCATTAAGCCAGCCAAAGCCATCTCTGCCAGGTGACACCCTCGCTGCTTATGGGGGTAAAACCACCCAAAAATACCCAGCTGCTGTTCAAAGCAACACAAATATTAATCCTGCTCCTGAAACCACCACATTTCCTTGGAAAGTTCGGGCTGCTCCTGCCAGCATCACCTCCCCAGGGATTCCATCCACTCCTTGCCACAAACTAGTTGTCTTTCCCACTCTCTGTTTTACCTGGGATTTTAATTTGTTTTGTTTTTTTTTAAAGTAATTTTCTTTTCCAGCTCTCATTCCTGCTGCCCTCAGCCCCGTGACACACACAGGGAGGATTCACCTCCTGCCTTTTCATCCCTCTCTAACCCATTCCCAAAAACGTAAAGGAAGCAGCAAAGTTCCTGACTTGTTTTGTTTTTTTTAATCCCCAACCTTGGTGTCCACTGCCCAGGAACTCATCAGCTTAAAGCAGGAATTCTGTGGCTGTGCAGGCATCCAGGGAGGAATCATTTCCTTACACCCAGGGAATGTAGGGCTGCCATGGGAAAAGCCCAGTGGGGATTACTTAAAGCCCTGAAAACCCAGCAGTGAATAAAAACAGCTCCAGCATTCACCTTGCCAGGGCTCCATGAAGAATTATAAAAAACATTAAAAGTGTTTTATCCACCCCTGAGACCTGCAGGGCTGCTGCTTCCCCAGTGCCTGCTCTTCCCAGCCCTCTTGGGCCTGCAGCATCCCAGCCACCGACTCCAACCACCCAAAAAAACAGGCAGGAAAAAGGCTCATACCTCCTTTATCTTTTTATTTGTCTCCCAGACTGCACACAGCTCATTCCCAAAGGAGCAGCAAGCATTTTTTCCTCTTGGCTTCACTCCCCCCAGGCATGCCCAGCAAAGCATGGTGATAAAATCAGCCTTTTATAGAGGGGGGATCAGCTCACAGGTGCTGCTCAGCTCCCACCAGGGCTTCCAGCAGCTGCGTGGAATCGGGAATCCCCCTCCCCTTGCTGAATTAGGTGACCAAAAAAAAAAAAAAAATGTCCCTTGGCACCTCAGGGCCGTGCTCCTTGCCTGGGCACGGGGATGAGCATTCCATTGGCACCTGGCATCGCCTGGGCACCAACACCTCCCGAGGGACGGGCACCACCGGGGCGGGCATCATCCTGGAATCCAGCTGGAATCACGGGCTGGGCTGCAGGAGCCGATCCCTGGGGCAGCCTCCGCTCTCCCATTGGCACGGCTGGAGCTGGAAAAGAAGGTTTTCAGTCAGGGCAGGGCTGTACCCAGCCCCAGAGCCGCGCCAAGCCCGGTTCCTGCCAGCTCCAGCTCCCCGGCATCCCCTGGGATGAGCCCGGCCAGGAGCAAAGGGCTGGATCCCGGCGCTAACCAGCTGGCCCAGCAGCGGCTGGCACGCTCACCGGCCGCAGCGCATCCCGTCTGTGGCCGAGCCGAGCCAGGCTGGACCGTCTGTCCTGCTCGGGCAGAGGAATCCGTGCCGTGCCGTGCCGGGAGAACCGAGCCCGGGGCGGGAGGATCACCGGCTCTCCCGGGAGAGTCCAGCCGGAGCCGCTGGCAGCCTCGGGCTGCAGAGCCCCCGGGGCCGGTCACCGTGCCCCGGTTGGAGCGGGAGCCGGTGCTGTGCCGGGATTTGGGAGCGCCGCGGCTCCACCGCGTCCCCGCCTCCCGCGGGAGCGAGTGGGTGACACCGGGGACACCCGGCCCCATCGCGGGGTGCTGATGCTGTGCCCCCCAGAGGGTCAGCGCCTAAACCCGCTGCCAGGGACACGGGGACACCGGCGGGGAGGGAACGAACCATCCCCGTGCCGGGTGGCACGGTCCGGACCGCATCTCCGGGCACCGGAGCAGGCAGCGCGGGGCGACGGGAGCCAACGGCCCGGGCCGCTGCCAGGGACACGGGGACACCGGCGGGGAGGGAACGAACCATCCCCGTGCCGGGTGGCACGGTCAGGACCGCAGCGCGGGGCGACGGGAGCCAACTGCCCGGGCTCACCCACTTCTGCCCCGCTTCTCCCTGTTTTCCACCCGTTTTGCCCGGTTTTCCTCACCCCGTCCCGCCCCTCTCCCGCCGGGTGTTGAGAACCGGGAGGGCTCTGAGCTGGGCTCGGTCCCTGCGGGGAGGCGCGGTGGCAATGGGAGCAGCTCCAGCAGAGCCCTCAGGCCGCCCGGAACGGGACCGGAGCCCGGCAGAGCCCCTTGGACCGGGAGCGGGACCGGGAGCGGGACGGGGACCGGGAGCGGGAGCGGGAGGCGGCGCGGTCGTGGCGCCCTCGCGTGGCCAGTGCCGGTATGGCAGGCGGGCCGCCCGCACCAGCGCAGTGTCGCCGTCTGGCGGCCGCGCTCGGCAGCGCAGCCCCCGCGCCCCAAGGACAGCGGCGACACGGGGACACCTTTCCGTCACCCCTTTATTGAAGCCGCCGCACGCTTTAGCCCTCGCCCGTGGAGCCAGCAGCTGCTGCCGTCCGGGACCCGCCCGCAGGTACCGGGAGCTCCTGCCGAGAGAGCGGAGCCCGTCGGCCTCGGCGCCCAGCCCAAGGTGGGGCTCCGGTGGCACCGGCTCTGTCGCCCCCCCCCGCCGCCCCGCACCTTCACGCGATGCCCGTTTCCCGCACGTCTTCACTTCTGGAAGGTCCATCCTTGTTTAGCGTTTCCATCTCTTCTGCCTTCCTCTTCCTACGCTGCCTCCGACAGTGGCTTGACGGGGGGAAAATATCATAAACAAACAAACAAACAAACAGAAAAGAGGCAGAAGGGGACATGGCAGTGATGCTCCTCCCTCTCCTTCGGCTTTTACCCTGCAGAAGATCCCCAGAAGGGGATCACACCTGCTTTCCAGCCCCAAAGGAATATCCCAGGCACTTCCCAACACCTGCAGGAGCATGTCCCATCAGCCTGGGGCAGCCCCAACCCCACCTGCCTGGAGCCAGGGGATTGAGATTTCCCCCTTTTCCCTTTCCCTTTCCCTTCCCGCGCCGTTCCCCCACGTACTGGCTGCAGAGGCAGATGCCGACGACGAGGATGATGAGGGCGGCGATGGCGACGATCAGGGAGATGATGACGATCTGGCCCTGGTCCCCTCGCAGGTAGAACAGATCCACCCTCTCGCAGCGAGCCCCGGTGTAGCCCCGCTCGCACCTGCCCCGCGGCACAGGGGAGGCACGGAGCGGTCCCGAAAGCCGCCACGCTGCCCGTGGCCCCCCTCGCTCTGCCCTGCCGGCGGGGACGGGCACGGCAGGCGCCGTGTGGCCGTGTCCCCACGTCGGGTGACTTACACACACGCCGGAGCCTGCTCGGCCACGAGGAAGCGGCACCTGCCCTTGACGCAGTAGTGCTGGTACTCCTCCGGGCAGCGGGAGAAGTGGCTCTGCCGCCGCAGCTGCGTGCCGTTCCCTGCGGGGCGACACGCACGGGGGACAGCCCCACAGGGGTGACAGCTCTGCCCGGAGGCAGCAGCACCCCCGAGCCGCTGCCCCGCTCCCTTCCACGGCCCCCCGGCAGCCCCCCTTACCTGTGCATGGCCGTGCCGTGCCGCAGCCGAGCCCCTCGGGGCCGTGGCCGGCCGTGATGTTGGTGTCGGCGCCCACGCAGCTGAAGAGTGCCAAGCCTGGAAGGAAAGGCAGGCAGCTCAGGGGGGAAGCCCAGAGCCCCCCAAAGCCACAGGGGGGGCGCTGGCAGCGGGCTCTGCAGCTGCGGCCCCCCGGCAAAAGCTGGCAGCATCAGCTTTTCCCCAGGGCCGGGAGAAGGGAAAGCCGGCCCCGCCTGCTGCCTCCGCCCAGCAACGCCCCGGCGAGGAGCTCTGGGAGCCAGCCTGGTGGGGCTGGGACCACACAGCCCGGGCAGCTGCTGCTGTGCCCGGGGAGGATGCAGGGAGGGATCCCCAGAGAGATCCGGACTGGTGGAATCACTGATGGCGTCGGGCTGGACGGGACGGTGAAGCTCATCCAGCCCTGCTCCCACTGTCCCAGGCTGTTCCAAGCCCTGTCCAACCCGGCCTTGGACACTTCCAGGGATGGGGCAGCCACAGCTTCCCGTGCCAGAGCCTCCGCACCCTCCCAGGGAAGAATTCCTTCCCGGTATCTAATCTAAACCTGCCCTTTGTCAGCGCGGAGCCCTTCCCCTTTGTCCCGTCGCTCCGTGCCCTTGCCACAAGTCCCTCTGCAGCTCCCTCGGCGCCTCTTTGTGTCCCCGGAGCCCCGCACAGCCCGGGCACGGGCAGAGGGGCCAGCACGCCGTGCCGGTGCCCCGGGGGGAGCGCGGCGGGCGGCTCCCCGGAGCGGCGGTAACCGGATCGCTGGCATACCAGCCTGACTCAGCACGGCCCCGCTCCCGCCCGCCGCTCCCCGGGGATTCACCCGCCCGGGCGGCTCCCGGGAGCGGGGACAGGTCCTGCCTGACGGGGCAGCGGCCGGGTGGCTCCCGCGTGGGGACACTCGGAGGCTTGGCAGGGAGCGGAGAGCTTGAGCGGCCAAACCCTGCCTGCCAGCCAGGCCTCCCGCTCCCTGTTTCCTCCTCCGGCACCTTGGAAACAGCGCTGGGAGCTGCCCGGCCGAACCTCCGGGTCCCCCGCGTCCCGCAGCGGGGACATTCCCGGCGCACACGTCCCTCCTGGCTATATATAGCCAACTCCTCGGCGCTGAGGAGCGACAGCGGCCCGGAGAGCCCGGCGGGGAGGGAAGCGAGCCCACCGCCCCGCCCGCAGGGTGGGAGCTGCCAGGGATGAGCCACGGGGCGGCTGCACGCCGGCATCCAGCTGCGGGCACAGGCGGGACACGCGGGGAGGGAGGCTGACTTCACCGGCCGTGACCGAGCTCGCAGCTCGACATGGAAAGATCCCCACCAAGCCGAGCTCCCCGCCCTTATTGCGAGCAGATGCGGAGTTCTGGCACCCTCCGGGCTGGCAGCCCCTCGGCGGGACCGCCCTGGCGGCGGTGCCAGCCCCGGAGGCTGCAGGTGCGGACACCGTCACCTCCCTGCTCCGCTGGCTCCACTATCTGGGGCTGCAGCCTTGGCTGAGCAGCCAGAGATAACCCAGGGAAGTATCCCAAACACCGGGTTGTGCTGCTGCTGACACCCCCGCGCTCTCCCAGGAAAGCCCAAACCACGCGGGAGGTGGCAGCGCTCGGAGGGGACGCACCGGCCCCAAAACCGGCCGGCCACCCTCGGTTTCCTCCTGCCAGCACAGGTTTGGCAGGTTTTGCCAAGTGCTGTCACCAGCCCTGCCAAAGAGCCAAACCCAAGCTGCTCCCTGCGGAGAGAAAAGCTCCCCCGAAATCCCAGTGCGGGGGAGGGATCTCTGCCAGGGAGGGTCTCGGCTCTCCAGCCTGAGGTTTTTTTTTCCTGGCAGCCATCAGCAGACACCTGTCTGCAGCTGCCTGCTTCCCAAAAACTTAGGAACTGACATGGGAATGCTCACACACTTGTTGGAGAGGTACTGCCCCCCCTGCCCCGGCATCCCACATTCCTCAGGCACCCATCAGCAGTGTCCCTCCAACAGGTGGCAAAAGCATCCCGGTCCTGCTCCAGGATCCAGCCCTGGCCCCGAGGGATTCAGAGGCAGGGGAGCGCTGGGTTGGAGCGGTGGGGAGTTCCAGGGTGGGACCTGGGGGCACAGGGGGAGCTCAGGGACAGGGCTGGGCAAACACCAGGCTGGGCACAGAGGAAGGGCTGGGATGGATGGAATTGTCCGGGGGGGCACAGGGAGCCACTGGCATGGGACAGGGCCAGCACCAGGATGGGGGGTAAGAGGGGGGAACACAAGGGTGCAGCAGAATGGGACCCGGGGAGCAGCGGGATGGGATGGGATGGGGGAGCACCAGGACGGGCGAGGGGAGCACCGGGATGGCACCGGGAGGCAGGTGCAGGATCATCAGCCTGGGAACAAGAACAGCGGGACCAGAGAGAGGACGGAGCCGGGACCAAGGGGGTGACACGGGGCTGGGACAGCGGCGGTGACACCGTGCAGGGACGCGGAGCCCCGTGCAGGGGCGGGGAGGAGGAACACCCCGCGGGCCGCTGGCTATCCCGGGACCGGGCAGGTGTCGGGGCAGGGGGACTCCCGTGCTTACCGGAGGCCAGGGCCAGGCAGAGCAGCAGGGTACCGGGGCCGCCGCCCGGCGCCGGGGCCGCCGCCCGCCCTCCTCCTCCTCCTCCTCCTCCTCCTCCTCCTCCTGCGCCTCCTCCTCCTCGTCCAGCTGCGCGGCTCCCACCCCGCCGCAGCCATCCCCCGGCGGTGCCGCTGTCCCCTCCCGGGTGTCCCCTCCCGGGTGTCCCACCCACGCGTGTCCCACCGGCCGCGCCCGGCCTCGTCCTGCCTGGCCCCGCATCCCTGGGGATGGATGTGGGCGGCCAGAGGGATCCCCCAGCCTGCCGTCACGGCTTCCAGGCGTGGCTCCCGGGGGATCCCCTCTCCAGAAGGACAGAGGGTGCTCGCCCCAGTCCAGCCTCGCTCCCCAGAGCATTTATGCCTGGCCAGCTTGCTGTGGAGAGGTGAATTTATTCACAGTGAGTAAAACACCCTCCCAAGGGCCCTGGCTGGCAGCGACGGCAGCTCCGAATTATCCTGCAAGGGGCTGTGCCTTCCCAAATACACCTCGCGGGGTGATTTTTCCCTCGGGGGGTGCCGGGAGGGTATTCCCGGTCCTCTGGGTGACACCCTGAGGAGCTGGAGAGACCCCCCGGGGTGAAGGTGTCCCCTCCGGGGCTGCTCAGCGGGGATGCTCCGGCACGGCTGGCGCTGTCCCGGCTCCCAGCAGAGCTCGGGGGGCTCTCCCGGCAGGGAGGGGAGCGGGCAGGGAGCGGCCGCGGAGCCAGCGGAGGTGGAAATGAACGACTGGAAAGAACGGGTGACCTCAAACCGCAAGCTGGCAGCTATTAATGCGAGTGCTGGCAGCCACCCAGCCATGCCATTTGGCCGCTGGCCAGGGGGTGAGCAAGCTCCCTTAGCCCTGGCCAGCCAAAAATTCCTGCTGCAAGCTCCGGCACACCGGTACCGCCGGCCCCTGGGCTCACGGCCCCCCCGGCTCCCTGCCGGCGGCCCCCCAAAAGCGTGACAAACCACAAGGATGGTGCAAAAGCTCTGGGCAAGGCCAGCAAAACTGGCAGCTGGCACCAGGATGTGGCACAGGGGAGCTGGCTTCATGCCGGTGGGGTGGGCAAAGGAAGGGAGCAGGCAAAAAAAATAAAATTAAAAAAAAAAAAATTCCTCATGCCCACTAAAAGAAAAATTTCCCTCCAGCATCCTTCACATCTGGATAGAACTGGTGGGGAAAAGCATTTGAAAGAGGTGATTTTAAAAGAGCTGGAGCCTCAGGGCAGATGTCACCAGAGGCAATGGTTTCCAGCGGCAGTGCGAAAGCGCTGGCCAAAGTTATCCCCAAAAAAGGATCTCCCTGGCCGGGAGGACCGGGCCGAGGTGACCAGCAGGTGGCAGCGGGAGCCCAGGGCTGGTGGCCCTCGGGGAGCTCCGGGCCTGCCACAGCCCAGCCCCTGGCACCCAAAACGCGAGGGGAGCAGCGGCGTGCCCAGCCCCGTCCCGACCCCCCAAAAACTCCTGCCCTTGGGAGCATTCATCAGCACCAACAACAGGGATGTGAGCTGGGAAGCAGGGAGGGTGTCACGCTGTTCCCACGGCAGCAGGGTTATTTTCCCTCCTCCCGAGCAGAGGGAATGTTTCAAGGAGAGCGGGGGTGCTGGTAGCGCCCGGCTGCCCGAGGAATGCCAGCTGACTTGGATTTTGTGCCCTGCTGGTCCAGGCCCAGAGCCAGGATCCATCCCGGGAAAATGCCACACAATGCAAGCCCGGGTAAAGATAGCTCGGCCACAGCCCGGGCTCCGAAAATCCTTTTCCATTGTGAGCACGCAAAAGCCTGGGGAGGATGAGTTCAGCCCGAAAATATTTCACCCGCAGCACTGCTCTTCCCAGAAGGAAAGGGGTAAAAAAATGTAGGTCCTTGTACCTCCTGCTGTGCCACAGGTGTCTGTCTCCTGGCTGGCTCCTTTGGGCACTGGGAGCTGCATTTTGGGAGCTGTTTGTGCAGCAGGACCCTGAGTGCCCGGCTCCCCTTCATTCACGTGCCTGGCTTGTCCCCCACCACAGGCACCAGATCCCTTTTATGCAGCAGGCAAGGGGATCCCCAGGGAGAACCACGGGATCACAAAACTGCTTGGATTGGAAGGGACCTTAAAGCTCTTGCTGTCCCAACGCTGCTACCACGGGCAGGGACACCTTCCACTAGCCCAGGCTGCTCTGCCGCTTGCCCAGCCTGTCCTTGGACCCTTCCAGGAATGGAGCACCCACAGCTCCTCCGGGCATCCCGTGCCAGGGACATCCCCGCCACACTCGGGCGGGAGCTGGCAACGGGGAGGGGACAAGTGACACAGAGCACCCCGAGCGGGTGACACCCGAGCCTCCCGCGCCCGGTGCTGGGTCCGGCAGCCCCGGCGGTTCCGGTGCCGGCAGGTGCCGCTGTGGGCCGGGCGCGGCCGGGGGGCGGCGGCGGGGGCCGGGCCGGGCTCTGCGTCCCTCCCGCCGCGGCTGCCAGCGCCGCCGGCACCATGGGCTGCTGCTGCCGCCTCCTCTTCCTCGCCCTCCTCCTCCTCCCGGCAGGTAAGCGCCCTGGGGAAGTGGGGGGACACGCCGGGGACCCCGCGGTGCCGGGCTGGGAGCGATGGGAAGGAGGCAGCCCCGCGATTACCGGGGGCAGCGCCGGTGCTTCCCGGAGAGGGGCTCGGCGGTGGCGGCCCCTCACACCCCGCGGGAGGGGTCACCCCCAATGACAGCGGGGCAGGAGGTGTCCCGCCCTGCTTCTCCTCGTCCCCAGCAGAGTCCCCGACTGCTGGGAGCGGGGGGACTTGGTGGGACCACCGGAGTGTCCTCACGGCCACCCCCTGGCCGGGCCGGAGCCGCGGCAGCCCCGCATCCCCTTCCCCCGCGGTCACCGCTCCCGGGGAGTTTTTATGGCTCTCCCTGGCCCCCGGCATCACCGGCCTCCCCGTGCCACAGAAACGCCCGACTGGACGTCTTCCCCCTCCGAGACGCTCGGCGGGGACAGCTCTGTCCCCGGCTGATGCGACAGCGAGCTCGGGTCACCCTTCCGCCCGCAACAAACACGAGGAGCTGCCTGCTCGGGAAGGTGGAAAACACGCTTGCATAACCGGGGAGAAACCCATCGGGCGGGATGTCGCTGTCACATCGGGCCGGGCCGAGCTGCCGGCACAGCCCGAGGGCAGCAGCAGCCCCCGGGGCCGCCGGGGGACGGGTCCCACCCGCGGGACCCCGAAACATCGGCCCGGAGCTCGTCGGCAGGCGGGAGATCTTCCCTGGAGCAGGGAGAGCTGGGTGAATAATTCTCCCTGTGCAAGGGGGGTTTGCCGGCGAGCTCCCGATCTGTGCGTTCGGGAGGGATGGGGACGAGCATTGGGATGCTCTTTCTCCTCCTTTGCAGTGCCAAATTTGCCCCCAAAGCCGGCGGTCTGTGCCGGCAGCCAGCCTTGGGGTCGGGGGGCGGGTTTTTCCCAGCGCCCGGGCCAAGCCCAAAGCTGTTCCCACGACCATCCCTCTCCACAGCACCAAGGCCAGCCAGGCTTGGCAGCAGGAACAGAAAAGATTTCCCTGGACCCTGGTCCCACGTCCCTCAGGCTGCTCCCAAACGGCCCTGGAGCATCTTTCGGATGCCTTCTACAACATTTCTGCCCCCACAAAAATAATTTATTAAAAAAAAAAAAAGAAGAAAAAAAAAAGTGTGTATACAAAAATATCTCTCACTTGGGAGGAAACACCAAGCAGGATTTGAATTTGCTTCGAGCTCATTCTTCAGGGCTAAATGACAGCTAGGACGTCACTGGCCAGGAGTAAAATAAGTCTGGGCTTTGCCTGGCCACCTAATGAAACAGCAGCGTCTCCCACAAGGAAGTTTTTATCCCCTTATGACTCCTTACTCTGGATGTAAATTGAAACCTGTTTTGCTTTCCTGACCTGGTGCCCAGCCCCAGGCCCGCTCTGCCCTTCTGCAATTCCCCCTGTGCCCCAGCTGAGACATTTTTGAGTACCTTTTAGAAGCAGATTTAAGGCCTTGAAGGTTTTGAGAGCTGCTTGGTGCAGGCTCTGGGCTGGAAGAGCTGCTTTTTGGGCTCTCAGGGCTGATTTATTCTGCCTTTGAGGAGGCAGATCCTCGAGCACTCTGCTCCCCCACCAGCTGAAGGACAGGGGAGTGGGTAAGTACCCCCTCTACCAGCCCAAATGAGCAGTCAGCCTCTTAATACCAGAGGATGCTCCCAAATTCCTCTGCCCAACCCAGCTGCTTCTCCCCCTGGGAGGGGCTGGAATGGGGCTGATGCATGTTGGAAGCTGCACCTGGAAGCACTAATTAGCAGCCAGCCAGGAAAATGATGGAGCTGGGGAGTTGTCACCTGGGCAGAGCTGCTTCTTGCAAAACTCCAGAGCCATATCCGAGATATGTGCCTGGGGAAAAATAATGGTGTGAGGTGTCCCGAGCAGGCAGGTCCCACCTGCCAGCTCCCAGCCCCAGGAGACACCAGAGAGCATCCCCTGGCATCCCTTCATTCCCCTTCCCCAGGGAAATCAGCACAGCCTAACCCCTGCTGGCATCTTTCAAGAATATAACTTGAAATACCGAATTTATTTTTTATTTAAACAAGAAAGACATCATTTTAGATGTTTTTCCACCCCAGGTCCTCATCACAGCCCTCTGGCTGTACAGGCTGACAGGGGTTTTGCCACTCTCAGGAGGCAAAAAACCCACCCAAAAATTCCTCTTCTCCTTCTTATCTGCTGTAATTTCATTGCAGCATCAGCATCAAGGGCTTCATGGGCTGGATAGTTGAGCAGCACTTGGCTCTGGGGAGGGGAAACACCATCTTTTCCTGGGTTTGGATCGTGGGGCAGGGAAAAACTTGGACACTCCTCCCAGGCAAGGAAGGAGGGAGCGTGCAGCATGCAGGGAGCCATGTGAATTTTAGAAAAAAAGCTATTTTCAGCTGGGAAGAGCGGAGCCTGCAGGGTGCTGGAGCTTCCCTCCTGCCTCCTCAAGGAGAGCCTGCCCACAGCAGCATTCCTCGGGCTCTGGAGGGTGTGCAGGAGCGAGCCAGGCCCGGTGGCTGGGACAGACGGACACACGGATGCTGGGATTTCTGCTGGGCAGCTGCTTCTGTCAGCCACAGAAAGCTCCAGGGCAATTAGAGCTCAGGCACTTAACGAGCACGCAGCAGAATAAAACTGATCGCGCAGGAAGCCAGCTCGGCCTGCCAGGAAATCGGAGCAAGCGCAGATTTATTGGATCTGATGGCCCTGGCTCCTCCTGCAAACAGGGGGGACGGGGCAGCAGGGAGAGGAGCAGCACCCCAGGCAGGGGTCACCAGCACCCACAGGCGCTGCTGGAGCTTGGGGGCACACCCCCAGCTAGAGGTGTCCCCAGGAATCACCCGCTGATCCAGCTGGGTGTCCCCCCTGTGATGGGGCAGGAAAATCTCACTGGGGGTGGGACGCGGCTCAGAGCCGGCAGAGCTGCTCCCACGCCTCCCCGTGGCCCGTGTTTCTTGGGGATAACGAGGCAGGAGTCCAGAGCGGTGCCCCAGAGAGAGAAAAACACGAGCTGGAGGCCCAGGCCAGCCTCCACGTCCTCGTGCTCCTTCCCCAGCAGCAGCCCTGTGCACTGCAGGTGGGGCCCAGGCAGCGAGGAGAGAGCATCCCCACATCCCAAACTGCATGGGGACAGGGAAGGTGAGGCGGCGCAGGGCTGAGCAGCTGGAAAAACTCGTCGAACCCAAAGCAAAAACCAGTTTGGTTTGGCCCTGGATGCTGCAAGGAGGGCTTTTGCCATCCACAGCCAGATGCTGCTGGTTTTACAGCAAAGAAATACAATGGAAATCATACCTGAGCACTAACAAGGGCGTGGGGAAGTACCAAAAACCCAGCACAGGTTATGGGACTCCCCAGCCACAGAAACCAAAGCTGAGCCAAGGAGGTCATGTGCAGGAAATCCTTCCTTATGTTTACATCTAGATTGTTTTATTGCTCTGCATCACTTAACCTGGTTACAGCCCAGGGCAGGCTCAGGGGACTCAGGGCTGCTCTGTCACCAGCATTTGGTGAGGAGCAGCACAATGCAGCACCAGCAAAATCTCTTTTTTTTGCTCACTCTTGTGATTAGAGACAGGTTTCTAAAGAGCAGCGATGCTTGGTGTGGTCTAGGTCACTTGTGGGTTTTTTTTGGGTGTTTGCCAGCTGCTGACCTGGCATGGAGAGTGGCACCCAGGCTGGCAGCAGCAGTGTGTGTCCAGCAGCTCTCCTTGCTGTCCTGCTGCTGTGTTTCTTGTTCAGGCAGGACAAACAACACCCACGTTATGGAAACTCTCATTATCCCTTTGGCCTTGGCTGCCGGGGGAGCGTCCCTGGCTGCAGCTGGGGCTGGGGTGCTGCAGGAAATTTGGGCTGGTCCCGTGGGTCTCCTGTGGCTGTGCCAGAGGCCACGGGCTCTGAAGTGGAGCTGGCTGAAAGCTCCACCTCTGCCTCTGTCAGTGGGTGTTTGTTTGCTGCTCCGGCCTGGTGTCACTCACTCGGGCTGCAGATGTGCTCTGGTGGCTTTCAGGCTGGCAGAGCAGTTCAGGATTTGCTGCAATGGCTTTTGGAGTGCCTGGGAAATGCGTTCTGGAGAGGCTGCCAGCCCAGGTCAAGCTTTCCCAGGAGGAGCATGAGCATCACTCAGCTCCTGCAAGGGCAAGACCTGCCCCTCTGTGTGCCTTCCAGGAGCCAGGAGAGCACCATAATTCACAATTCACAATTCACCAGGCTCATTCCTCAGGTTGGCACATGATTAGGGCTAATACTCCCTAAGAATATCCCCTAATATCCCCTAAGAATATCCCCTTCCCCTAAGAGCAGGATATTTGAATGACACTGCTTTGGGTTCTTCTTTCCCTGGCTGTTTTCTGTATTCCTAGTGACAAAAATCCTAGGAAAAGGACTTTGCAAAGCTCCTGTGTGGCCCTGGAGTGTGACACTGCTGCTTTCCTGGGCAGTCACCTCATCCTGGCAGCCCCCTGCCTCGCTCCCTGTGGGATTCCAGCGGGGTGGCCACCTGCCCTAAGTGAATTAGATGAGCAAATTCCTCAGGGCTGAGCTATGCTGGGCATCCCCTGGGAGCCAGCATCCCTCAGTCCCTCTGGGGGACTGGAGGTGTTTTCAGCCTGGTGACTTCCTTGCTCTCCTGGGAAGAGTCCCTGTGACTTGTGACCTCCTTGGCTGGGAGCTCTCAGCCAGCAGCCAGAGATTGTCCCTGCCTCCAGTTCTGGCTCAGCCTCCGGATTTATGCCCCTCAGATGTTATCGGAAAGTTCCTGACTCATCCCGGCCAGCAGCACTGCCAGCTCCCCGCTGCTCTGCCTCCCAAATTCAGGCACACCACGGCAGCTCTGCTGAGCCCAAGCGCTTGGGGACATCAGGGTGGCTTTGCAGGGAGGTGGGAAGCCGCCTGTGTCCCCGAGGGACCGGGAGCCGCTGCATTTACAAGGTGTCAGGCTCCTGGGATCCTGGCAGGATCCTGCTTGTCGGGCTGGCTGCTGCCTGCTGGAGGAACCTGAAAGGTCCAGGAGTGAGAACACTGGCATACAGATGGATTCTGAACCACGTGGGGTGTGAAGGATCCCTGCAGTAACCAGATCCCAGCCTGTCATTCCTCCCTGTCCCACGGTTGGTGTCCTCGGCCTGAGGAGGGTAGAAGCTCAGAGCCATCTCCCAGTGCTTGTCCTCAGCAGAGAAGAGCAGCCACGGCCTCAGTGTCACCTCCAAGACCCCTTTGCCTGGGAAACGGGGTCCTTCCACATGGATACCCCAAAAAAAGCCATTTTGGCTGCTTTAATTAACGAGTCCCCGCTCGCCAAGCAGTGCCAGATCCCATTGTTCCCACAGACAGGCACGGAATGTTTCTGTCCTCCCCACTCCTGATTAGTTCATTGCAGCTGGAGCGAGCTCCTGCTCTGCCCAGGGCTGGGCTTGGGATGCTCTGGGGGGTCAGGGGGAGAAATGACTCATCCCCACGCTAAGAAACGGTGACAAATGAATGAATGCACAAGGAAGTGGGGGGAGAAGAGAAAGAGGCGTCTTGTGTTGTCCCTCCCAGCTGCACAGGGGCCGCTCTGAGGAGGAGCTTCTTCCCCTGATGCTGGGGGTGATGGGGGTATCCCGAACTGGGGGAAAAACGGGGCTGATTTATGCTAGGACAGCTGCTCTGGTTTGAACCTCCCCTCTAGGTACACAGCTGTATTTCCCCTCTCTTCATTTCAGATGGCCCTCGCCGTTTTAAAACTTATTCCCAGCTTAATTCCCAAGCCCTTCATTCAGCGCTCTCCCAAACGCCGAGGCCTGCCCTGTCACTAACGCTTCTTTGTCTCACCCCTAGGACTGGGCCACGGCTCCCCGGAGTCACCCCTCATCCCCATCCGCCCCCCCTTGCTCTGGGGGGGCGCCCCGGTGAAACCAGACTCCAGGGATGTCCCCACAGCGGCTCCAAGCCAGCCCGAGCTGCCTTCCTCCACGGCGCCTTCCGGAGACGCGACATCCTCCAGGCCCCTGGACGGGGACGGCCGCAATGCCAGCACCCCGGCGGCAGCGCTGTCCCCCGCTGCTGTCCCCGTGAGCCCCGCGGCAGATGGCCCCTCCGTGTCCCCCAGCGCGGTGCCACCCGATGTCCCGGCTCCCCGGACAGCGCACGCTGCCGGCCTGGCAAGGAGCACCACGGATGTGGGAGCAGCTCCCAGCCCCTCAGGCCTGGCTGTGCCATCGCCTCCCTCGTCCCTCACCAGCAGCCATCCCGCCTCGCCTCCCGGCACGGGCCTGTCCCCGACGCCCGTCCTGGCGAGCCCGGCCGCCACCCGGCCGCCGCTGCCGCCCGAGGACGTCCCTTCCCTGGGGACACTGGCCGTGGCATCGAGCCTGGCCACGGAGCCGACATCTCCACCCGGGACTGTGCTGAGCGCCGCGGAAGGCGAGGCCGAGGCCTCGGAGAAAACCACCGGGGTCACCGTGGAGGAGGTGCCGCGCGCCCTGAGCGCAGGTGAGCTCCTGTGCCCGCCCTGTGCCAGCCTCAGGGTGCCCACGCCGCACGGGCAGAGCCCCGAAGGGCAAGGGAAGAGGTGCCCGGCTTGCTGAGAGCGTCGCCCTGCGAAATTCCCGGAGGAGCCTGTGCCGCCTGGAGCGCTGGCAGAGGCCGGGAGCGGCGGATAACGAATCTCGGTTGCCTGGAGATGGGGATAAAATCCTCAGCTCTAAATTTGACTCGAAAGGCTTGAGGATGAGAGGAAACAAACGGCTGGGTGGTGGGTGCAGCCCGAGTTAGGGTGGTGTAAGGGTGAATTTTCCCTCAGGAAGCTGACACGAGCTTCTCCCTGTCCCCTTGTAGGGGTGGCTTAAAAGTGCTCCACGTGGCTGGAAAAGGGGCGATCTGGAGCATTTTCTAGCCTTGGCTCAGCCCTGAACGCTGCCTGGCGCTGGGAGCAGCATCCAAGAGCGAGTGCACGGTGCCCAAGCTGTGCTTCATCCCACAAATACCTGCCCTGCATTTCTGGGACCATTGCCAAGAGAGAGGGACAACCCCTTTGGGAAGCAGCGAGGGAATATTCACACAGAGATGGCTGGTGTGGGCGAGCTGGGAGCAGCTGGGCTGTGGGATGTGTGCTAGGGAGCTGGGATCAGGGGGCTGAGCCCTGACCCTGCCCTTTGTGGTGTGTTTGGTGCGCAGGGAGCATCGTGGCCATCACCGTGACGGTCATCGTGCTGGTGGTGCTGGTGTTCGGGGCGGCCGCCTACCTCAAGATCAGGTGAGGCCGGTTTTGGGGTGGCCCCTCTCTCCACAGCCCCTCTCACCGGCAGCGGGATGATGCCAAGCGCCGGGAAGACGCTGTCCCCAGGCGTGGCAGGGCAATGTGCAGCCTCTGGTGCCAGCAGGGCTGCGTTCCTCACCGCTCCTGTACTGGAAAGCAGAGTTCGCCTCCCTGGTTTTGCAACAGCCCTGCTCAAATGGCAGGGATGCTGCTGGGCATAGTCATATCCAGTAATTATCCCTTGGGAAAGCTGCTGCTGTGGGTCTCGCTGTCACTGGGACAATAAACAGCAGCAGAGCCCAGTGCTGAGCATCCCTAATGAGCCTCTGCTGACAGCTGAGATGAGCAAAGGTCTGCTTTTAATTCCCTGTGTCCAGGCTCATTCAACGGGGGCAAAATCCACTCTGGGCTTCTCTTCACTTCTCCTGGTCCTTCCTCTTTAAACACCCCAGAGCTTGACCTAGGGAGCCTCTGCGTTACCATTTCTTCATCCCATGGCAAAATAAGTAATAAATCCTCAAAGTGACCTCAGGTTTGCTCTCCCTGGCAGGCACTCCTCCTACGGAAGGCTTTTGGACGACCATGACTACGGCTCCTGGGGCAACTACAACAACCCTCTCTACGATGACTCCTAGCAGGGATGAAGCCAAAAAACCCCAAAAACCCTTAATTTATAAGCGCTTCTGCAGCAGAGCATCCGCTGTCGAGGAGATGCCGGGCACGGAGCCCCTGCCTCAGGCAGGATTCCCACGGGTCTGGTGGATGGCAGGAACTGGAGGGCAGTGCTGACAATAAACCTGAATTTTGGCCTTTGAGCGGGAAACCGGGTCCTGGGGCAGGTCAGCCGCTTGTTGTAGGCAAGGGAAGCCAAATTCCCCAGGGGGAAAGGCTGGGGAGGGCAAGGGAGAGGATGGAGGTTCAGCCAGTGCTGTGGCATCCTCTGAAATGCTGCTGCTCTGCGATTTTGGGGGGGAGTGGGGGGCTGCTGAGCCAGAGCCAGCAGCGTGCCGGGGTCTCCTGTGCTTTCACACATCCCTTTCCCTGAAATCACTTCCCTGTGTTGCCCTGCTACGAAATCCTTTGCCTTATCTCCCCAGGAACAGCTACGAGGCTGCTCAGTCACTGCTCCCTTTCTTTTCCTGCAGGTGCTTCCATGCACAAGCTCCTGATTTAATTTTTTTTCCATTTAATTGTGGGTGTTTTGGTCCCAAAAGCAGCCCAGGAGCCCACGGGAAGATGCACTGACCATCCATTTCACACACGTGGCTGCTTGCTCCACAGCTTTGTTTCCATTCCTCAAAAAAAAACTTGGCTGCTAAAATACAGCGGAGTGTTCTTTTCATCCCCAATTTGTGTTCAGCTTTTAGTGTGGGAAGGCTGGGGGTGGCTGATGGCAGAGCTGGTTTGGGAAGGGGATGCTCAGCCGCCTCTCCCTCTGGCTAAATTCCCTGGCAGTGGAAAGCAAAGCCCTCAGTCCTTGGTGAAAACAGGAAAATAAACCTGTGGATGGTTGTTGCACCTCCCAGCCACAGCCAGCCTGGAAAACTGTTGGGGCTGGGAGCATACACAGGGAAGCACAAGCCCTGAAGATGCTTAGGATGAGCAAAATTCCTTTTCACCTTTTCTGGCACCTGAGAAGCAGCAAATCAGGCTACCTTGGCTAAGAAAAGCCACAAACTGAGTTAAAAAACCACCACACTTCTTCTCCGGGAATAAACTGGGTGTTGTGCTGCTGCTGCCAAACTGAGGGAATAAAGGGAGAGGAAAAGCCATCACAGTCAACTAAAAGTACATAACCCCCAAGGGAATAAATTCTTTTTTCATGAAGGAGGACAGAAATGGGGCCTCAGTTTTCCTGCTCAACCCTGTGCCTGGATCCTCAAAATTAACTACTTTCTCTTGCCCTACAATGCAAGGAAGAAGCTGTACATATTTTTGGGGATATCCCGGGGTGAAAACAGATCCCTCACCTCTCTGGGACCAGACACCATCCCCAGTGACGTGGATGGTATGGATGTGTTTCCACCTGCAGGATTGTCTGGCAGCACGAGCCAAGGCACAGGGCAGCCTAGGGAACAAGAGATGTGTTTGGCAAGTGGAAAAAGCACTTCATTCCGGGGGCAATGCCCTCAGAGGGAGGATGCCTGTGTTCCAGGCAATGCCTTCCAACACCCCTCTCACATTCCCACCTCAGACCCCCTGGCTTATTGTAGGGTTTCTGTCCCACACCAGTACAGCAGGGAAAAAGGGGGAAAAGCAACCAGGACGTGCCCTACAAAAAGCCCTTTTTCCTTCTCTTTTAAAAACCAACGGGGTTAACCCTGCTACCAACTTGCTTCATTTACAAAACCAGCCAATTCCCATTTTTCCCAAAGGCTCCCACGACTCTGGCTCAATTCCACCTCCTCCCAACTCCCTCCCCCCCGCCCCCCTTTGGCTCCGTTTCATCTCAGAGATATTTTATTTATACAGAAAGAGAAATAGCTGGCATAGCTCCGCGCACGCGGAACCACAGATCCGCCGGCTGGAAGCTTTATCCCTGCTCCCAGACTCCCTCTGGCCTCCCCAGTGATGCTCTTGTTCGGTGAATATTCCCACACCCACCCACCTTTCCGAGCGTGGAGTTCCTGGAGTTGAGTAGCTCCTGCTCGCAGCCTTTGGCACAGGTGACAGGAGCCAACTCCAGCCGGGACCACGGAGGAGCAAATCCAAGGAAAACAGCACGGAGGTCCCAGCAAAGCCGAGCTCTGCCCGGCTGCCCCTCTGAGGTATAAATAGCACAACACCAGGAGCCTCTCCCTCACTTCCAGCTGGAAATTTAAAAACAGACGGTTTCCCTGCAGCCAGGCAGGGGCGAGACAGCCCCGGGAGGGGGTGGCTGTCACCCGGAGGTTTGACACAGAACTTCCTTCCCAAACGACGCTGTTGGAGCAAGCCAAAACCACAGCAGAGCACCAAACCAGCCCAAAACTGGGGGTCCCGACCAGCTGAGCCCCCCAGCCCTGCACTGTTCCTCTTGCTGCCTCCTTGATCCCTCTGCAGAGCTCTGCCTGTATTAATTGCTCCGTGACCTCACGTGCAGCCCTCCAACCTGCTGGAACTCCACTTTTTTCCCCACAAAGCACCATCTGCTCCTGATTCTGGCCTGGAGGGGTGAGCAAGGCAGGATTCTGGGTGCCAGGGAGTGAGGGAGCTTCCCTACAGCTCCAACAGCCCAAGGCTGATCCATCCCTGGATCATCTCAGCGCCCTGATCCCAGCATTCCTCCCCACTCCCCTCGGCTGCACCTCCATGGACAGGACAGCAAAGCTCCATACAGCACCTCCCACCCCAAAAAGCAGCTCCTTTCCTGTCTGTATCCCCCCTCCATTGCCCTTTATCCCCTGAAAATGCCATTCCTTTTCCTGCCGTGCCATTTATTCCCTGGCAAAGGGAGTTAAGGGCTCGGTGCCAAGATAAACACACCAAACAGCAGTTCAGCATTCCCTCAGCATCCCCATTCCCTCGTGCACTTTCCAGAGCCAAACACCAAAAACAGGAGAGCAAAAGGTCAAAACCACCTGGATCCCATTCCACGAGTAATTTTCCTTCCCAACACCAAAGCTCAGCTCAACTAAGAATTTTCTTTCAGCCTCCTCTTGTGGCTGGAACCCAAAGAAGAGTATTTCCAATTAATAATTGGAATAAAATTAAAAAATAAAGCACTTATTTTCCTAATAGTGTCTCGGGCCTCACACCTCCCCACATCCAACCATTTTTCAGCCCTGAATCATGGTTTAAACTCAGCTGGGAATTTCCAGGGAGTACGTGTGTGAAAGAAGAGCGCATCAGGCACGCTGTCGTTTGTTTATTTTAATAGAGACCTTTTTTTTACATTTATTTATAGCAGTGAGAAAAGTGCTCCAGAAAAAGATACCCCAGTCAAGGCAAGCTACCATAGCTACCATCCAAATCCTAAATATTCCCTAGAGAAAACGGGCACTGTTGGATTAAGAAAAGCTCATTACAGAACAAGTTAAAGATGAGTAATTATGACCTGAAGAGGAACTGATCCTTTTTTACACCTCATTACTGTAAAGTATCTCCATGTGAGATTCACAGAAACCAAGGATTTCCTGCAATACTTAAGACTGCAAAACACCTCAGGCAGGATGTTACATGAAAAAGGGTGGAGCAGGGGTTTTTATTTCTTTCAAAAGGCAGCGGTTCACCCCCCCAGTGAAGTTCTACCATGAACAAACACCAACATCACAGAAAATTGGACCCTGGACTGCTTTATTTCAGTGAACATCCCAGGCTCAGCCTGCTGTGAAGGATGTGCTTCACTTTAGGTCCCTAACTAGCAAAATCCAGCAACGTACGAGTCTCACACCTGCACCACCTCTGCCAGTGGACAGTGCAAAATGAGGCAGAAACAGGGGAAAAAGCAACAGCAGTGAGTCAGGATGGGCACCCAGGGGAAAAAAGGGGGCTTTGCACCTGGATCTTCCAGCTGCTCATCCCAGCAGGCAGGGCAGTTCCCTTGTTTGAAGGGAATTCTGTACACACGGGTCACAGTGCATGAAGGGGGCTGGAGGTGCAACCCCTGCCCACTGTCCCTGTGGGCACACACGTCATTCCCAGGGAACATCACATCCTCACACATGGCCCTGTGGATACCAGCACCAGCCCCCAAGGTCTCTCAAAGGTACCCATTTTCCCCCAGAGCTGCACCTCCACCTCCTTCCCCTTCAGCTGCCCCAAAATTCCTCCTGCTGCTGCGTCAGCTGCTCGCTACATCTCCTCATGCTGCTCCTCTCACCTGCCTCCTCCCTTTGGCAGTAAGGGACTCCTTGGACTGGGAATAGTGGAATTTTTACTGGCACAAGAGCTGCTCTGCTCACACAACAGTCTCTCCCAGGGCCCAGCGCGGCGCGCGTCCCGCTGGTCACTGCTCCTCCAAGGAGAGCCGGCACCGCCCGTCCTGGGCCGTGTTGTAGGACTCACAGCTCTGGCACTTCATGCCCAGGAGGTGGAACTGCACCGTGGAGCGGGCATTGCAGTCGTTGCAAAGGATCTGCATGCACACAGGAGAGGGAGGGAGGGAGGGACAGGCTGCAGCCCCAGCGGTGGGTGGATATAAACAGCAGGGATGAACACCCCACGCGCGGCTGCTCCTCAGCATTCCCCACCCCTTGGTCTGACTCCCGATCCAGCACGAGTCCCTAGTGCCCTCTACTGCCAGTAACTCCGAGGCACAGATTCATGGAAGCCAGGCAAGGCTGCGAGGCTGCCCTCTTACCTCCACCATCATGTTCTGGTACTCGGTGGGCATGGGAGTCTGCGCCACCTCGGTGTCCAGCTGGCGCCAGTACCTGGTCATGTCCAGCGCCGAGTGCATGCACAGAGGACACCTGTAGCCTCTGGCAGAAAGAGGGGGACACGTCTCAACCAGAAGATGAAGGCAGGCCATGAAACAAGTCCATTGGTAGGGACGAGTTTCACGTTGTACCAGGGAAACAGGCAGCACGAAGCAGCAAGTTCTGGCACACTGAGTCGGAATTTAAATGCATTTTTTCCCCCCTAAGCTAGCCCCTCATCCCTTTAGGAGCTGTCTTTAAGTCGGTGCAGAATTGGCATTGTGATTTTTAGCTCTTGAAACAATATGTTAGGACTAGGGTAATATTGGGAGGAAAGATGTTTGGAAATACTCACTCCTTCAGCATTTCGTCGTAACATGTCCTGAAAAGGAAACACAGGTCAGTAAGAAAAACTGAATTACTGACAGGGAACACACCAGGACTGCACAAAGGAAATAAGCCACACGGGTGTCCCCAAGGCAGAAATTAAGAACATCCCTAGGCCAAGTGACAGGAGAGCTTCACACTGTCAAAACTGACTGAGAAGGACGACAACCCCCCTAAAGAAAATAATTCCTGGAGAAACAGACTGCCCCCACAATGCAGGTCCCTCAGAAAGCAGCTGTAAGCAGCTGACACAGACTGAAGGCTGCTGAAAAAACACCCAACACGATGCAGCAGGTGTTTCCCTTGCTCAGGTGTCTGCTTTACCTGTGAAGAAGGTGACCACACGGCAGAACATGGGCTCCAACACGAGATGTGTGAATATCCTGTTTGGAGGCAAATACAAGGCAAAAGAGAAGAAAATTAATCCACACACAGAGTCAAAAATGGGGCCACACAGTTATCCAGGAGATGAAAAGAAGCTGCTCACCTCCAAACATATTGGACAGTCCTGCCTGGAGACATTTTCAATGCACTTTGAAAAAGATAAGAAAACGTTATTCTGCTGCGTAGTTTTCCGTGTTTTTCTATATTGTAAAGCTCCAACAGGTAAAATTTCTTAAGTCTTCAATTAGTGGCACCTGTGTTGCTGTTAGGTGAATTTAGAGAAGGAGAACCCACTGCTCTCCCCGTTCCTGTGGCCTCAGGTGGGGCTGAGGCACATCCAGCTTCACATCCAAGGCGTTACCTTTTAAGATACGGAGGTAAGCAGCGCATCCTCACCTTGTGCTTTCCTTGGAGACTCAGGCTGAGGCACAAATTACACTTGGAGCAGTGGAAGAAATCCTCCTTGGGGCCAATCCTGCGGAGAGAGGTGTCAGGGCCGGGCCGGCGCCCGCGGAGCCGGGCCCGCCGCCCGCACGCACCTGCAGATGCCGCACTCCTGGCAGTGGTACTGCTTCTTGTCACGGTCAAACAGGTGGCAGATGTCACAGTAGTACTCCCCAAAGAGGCTGCCACAGCCCTCACAGCGCTGCTGGGCCTGAGGGGACAGGAACATCCTGAGTGCTGTGCTCGCTTCCAAGCTCCAAGAGGGGCGTGGAGCTCCTGGAGCAAGGCTGAGAGCTGGGAAGTGATGAACAGGCTGGAGAGGACAGGCTGAGGGAGCTGGGGTGGCTCAGCCCCGATAAGGAATGGCTGAGAGGATCTGATCCATGTCTGTGGGGATGTGGAAGGTGCCAAGAGGATGGGATCAGCCCCTGCTCCGTGGTGTCCAGCAACAGCCAAGAGGCAATGGGCACAAGCTGATGCACAGGCATTTCCACTGGACAGGAGGAAAAGCTTCCTTCCTGTGGAGTCTCCCTCACTGGAGATATTCCAGAACTTCCTGCACACAGCCCTGTGATCACAGGACATCCTGAGCTGGGAAAGGACCCACAATGTTCACGATGTCCAAGGCTTAGCCTCGCACAGGAGATCTCCGAGCATCCCGCCAGGTGTCTGACAGCACTGCCCACGTAACTCTTGCTCTCTGCCAGGACCGGGGCCGTGACCCCTTCCCCAGGGAGCCTGTTCCAGTGCCTCACCACCCATCCTAAAGCTCCCCTGCAAAGCGGGAGGCCATAACCCCGACAGGGAGCAGGGAGGTGACACCGCACGTCCCAGCGCGGTCCCCCCCATCCCGAGCCCTGCCGGACCCACCTTCTGCAGGAGCCGGCAGCGGATGCACTGCACCTCGGACACCCGGAACCGGTCCAGCTGGTGCTCCTCGGCGCCGTCGTGGCACAGCCGGCACGGGTACAGCTTCCCGCAGCACGGCGCCTGGGAACGGAAGGGAACGGCATGGAGCGGGGCACGGCACGGCACAGCACGGCACGGCACGGCACGGCACGGCACGGCAGCCGCTCACCCACCCGCAGCCGGCAGCCCCGCCGGTAGTGCTCGCATCCCTGCTCGCTTCCCGGCTCGCATCCCGGCTCGCCTCCCTCCGATCCCCCCGCCGTGGCCATGGCCGCCGCCGCCGCCCGGCCTCGCTCCACCCTTTCCGCTTCCTCACAGCCGGTTCCGGAGGATTGGGAGGTTTCGGAAGAGCTTCTCCCGCTCCCCGGCTGAGCTCTCGTGTTCCCCTTCTCGCTGAAGGCTGGTTCGAGTGGGAGCGGAGATCTGGAGATCTCCCAGTCCGAGCTCCCTGCCGAGGCGGGGTCACCCAGAGCTGGTGATGCAGGAGCGCGTCCAGGCGGGTTGGGAATGTTTCCAGAGAGAAAACTCCACGATAAAATCACAGAATACGCCAGCTTGGAAGAGACCCATCAGGACCATCATGTCCCACTCCTGATCTGCACAGGACACCTCACCAATCCCACCAGGTGCCTGAGAGCTTTGTCCGAACACTCCTTGAGCTCGGTGATTCCCGCGGTACCTTCCAACTCAGGAGATTCTGTTCTTCAAGCTGAGGTGGAGCTCCTTGTGTTCCAGTTTCTGGCTGCTGCTCCTCGTCCTGTTGCTGGGCACAGCAGAAATCTGGCACCATGCTCTTGACACCCACCTGGGAGATACTTGTATGGATTGATGAGGTTCCTGCTGTCTTCTCTCCTCTAGACTGAGCAGGCCCAGCTCCCAGAGTCTGCCCTCCTGAGAGAGATGATGCAGACCCTTCATCATCTTCGGCCTCTGCTGGACCCTCTCCAGCAGCTCCTTGTCCTTCTGCACCTGTGGAGCCCAGAACTGAATGCAGCACTCCAGATGTGGCCTCGCTGGGGCCAAGCAGAGGATCACCTGCCTGGACCTCCTGGCCACTCTCTTCCCTGTGCAAAACCTTTCCCTTAAAACTTTCTCTCCCCCACAAACGCACCTTTCCCCCAAAAACCTCCGCTCTTCCCTCCCCAAACCTTCTTTTCCCCCCTGCATTTGCCCATGGCTATCTGACTGACTGCTGTGGCCAAGTGGAACATCCACTGTGGGGACAGTCAAGCCTGGAGTTGGAAGATCTTTTTATTTACAAATGAAATGTACACATCAAGAGACAGCACAGAGACAAATCCCTAAAGACAATGAGTTCAGACCACATTCTATCGTGATCCATCGATGGGAAAGGCAGTATTTTGTGGAAAAATAAGTTCCAAAGTTAACAACACCACGTGAGTTGTGACAGGTGATGGAAAAATGTGAGCAAGACAGGGACAGCCCAAAACTGGCCACAGACAAACTAAGGGCAAGTAAGCAAAAACTGTTTCCAAACAGTCACGTTTTACTGTCCCATTCTTTTAAGGGACCTAAAGGAACAACGACTTGAGTTACTCAGACATTCCACGTGCCACCTGCGTCACAGCTCGGTATTCCACAGGGATGTAGTCCTTCCTTCACCATCAACAACAGCCAGACAACACACCCAGGGCAAACACCCCAAAGACAGCTGCCTGAACGTGGGGTCCAAAATGCGGAGGGAAAAGGAACCTAAACCAAAGTGACGAGTGCATTAGCGAGGGTTTCAAAGGAACAGCTGCAGATCTGCACATTTAGATATTGTATTTCTTGCACAGATGTTTTCTTCACTGTCAAGGCAAAGGTGCTTTTCAATCCAGATCAGCCAGCCCACTGAAATAAGAGAGTTTTGACAGCTGCTTTCGTCACGATTTGGTGAAAAACAAACCCCTCAGGCAGGCAGCAGCTGGACAAAAGAAAGCCCAGCTTCCTTCAGAGTCCTCCAAAGCAGCTCCTGCCCTTGTCACACACCAATGACCACTACCCTTCTCAGACAAGACCTGGCCCTAAGCCAGCAAGTCAGCAAGTTCCAGGGGCTTTTTGCATGCAAGAAATCCAGCAGCAATGGCAGTGCAAGCTCCATCCTTGGCCTGGACCCGAGCCACTTCCGTGGCAGTCTGCTGCACCAACAGGAGTAAGGGATCCTCCTCTCCCCTGCAGACACCTGGCAGCTTTAGCCCCTGGAAACTCAGATGGATTGTTCCCACTGTTCAGTCACCTGCATCAAGAGGAGAAAAGGAGAATGACTCTGGACAGACTGGCAAAACACAGAGGTGCTCCCTGGTGAAAGGCTTCCTTTATTTTGCTTTGTTACACATCCTTACCTTGCTGAAGCTGTGCACTTACACCTCTGTGCTTCACAGATCAGAAAACTTGAGGGTTTTTTTTCCCCTCCCCACATGCAGGCAGCGTTTTCTGTTGTCCTACCAGCTTGCTCAACCCCCCAATTTCATGAGCTGCTTAGTTTCCAACCCCAATGCCCAGCACCTCAGCTCAGGAAAATGATTTACCAGGCACAGCGAGCTGTGTACTGCCCTCAGTAAGAACTCTGTCATAGCTGCACGTCCCGACCAAGAATGTGAAGTATAAAACCATTTTCCTATTGCACTTCCCAGCCCTATGTGAGTGTTATGATCCATTTGGAAGCCACCAGAAGGCTAGACAGCAGAAATGAGAGCCCACCTTTTACAGGCAGGTGTGACCATCTCCCCAGGGCTACTGCTCGACCCTGGGCAAGTTGGCTTCTGATGCATCCGGCATCAAGGTCCCTGACAGCTGTAAATTGGGAAAGAAAGAGACAGGATCAATTTCCAAGTGTAGCATCAACAGAGCAGACAATCAGAAGCAGCCTTCTAAAGACACATGCAATGCCAACACCTAATTCAAAACAAATCTGTTCTTCGGTCAAATCAGGCTTCAAAAATGCTCCCCCAGTGTAAGACTTACGACCCCGAGGCAAATTCTGCTCCTTCAGGAGGCAGACTGGAATTCTGTGAGCCATGCTGTTGAGAAAGTCACAAACCAAACAAATACAGAGCAGCACAAACCACTTTATTGCCTTGCTACCTGCTGTGAAGGCAGACTTGAGTTAGGAAGGTCGATAACGGCGAGGGAGGGGACTTGGGACTCTGCTAACGTTCTATTTTCCTTCTTCAGAAATCTGAGATGCCGAGCTGCAAAACACAAGGCAAGCCATGTTTAGGGAGTGAGAGCTGACACACTGCTTCCTGACACCTGTTTGGCAGCCAGGTTGTATTTAGAGGACCTCAAAGTTCCTACCTTCCGCTCCCCTCAGCTCGGGGAGATGATTTAGTTCTGGCAAACGCACATCTGTCTTGGGTAATTCCCATTTTTTCTTACTTGCCTGGAGGATGGGTTTTTCATTGGTAACCTGTAATCAAGGGCATAAGGAAGAGCTCGTGAAAATACAGAAATAAAGCTATTTTCAAGCTTAAAAAATCAGTAAAACAGTAATGCTCTGATGGAGTTGGAATCTGTCCAAGAGTGAGACAAAAGACTTTGATGTGCGTGAAGGAATTCAACCTGCTCAAGTGCTATTTATAAACAAGCAATGGAAAAGCACCAGCAAAATGAAAACAATCATCTCAGTGAGGCTGCTTTTGGAGAGATAAAATACAGCACTTGGAGAATGGCTGGGATTAGTTATCTGGAAAAAGGCAAATGTTCCTGGCTGGCATGGTAACAATCATGCCTAGGCAGTGAGAGCAGAGGAAAACTTTCCATTTCACTTGCTTCCCTTATCAATTTTTAATGCAGTTATGACATGACTAAGGAAAGCCCTGGCCACATTAAATGCAAACCCTCAGTTCTGCTTCAGTGGCACAGCACACATGGTCTAGTGCTCCTGGCCGGGCAGGAGGCCATGGATATATTCCAAATCTCACAGATATCCTGTGCTGGACTGCTCCCCTCATTTAAAATTGCTTTCTGACATAAAATGTATTTTATCTAAGAACTGTTAGCAAGGGATAATAAATGAAAAATCTGCAGGAAAAAAAATGGGTAACAAACCCAGTATTTCCAGTGGGGAGTTAAGGTGAAAGATGGACCAGATGGAGTTCTTGAGAATACAACACACAACTGAATTAATTTTTGCTTGGCCAAGGGGGACAGACAGACAGACAGACAGACCACTCACCGGTGTCAAGTTGACATTGCAACGCCCCACTGGAGAAGGCTTGCGTGCCTTTAGCAAGGGGTTCAAGTATTTTTTACTCTTTTCATCAAGTCTGTAATCAGAAATGCCCCACAGCTGGTATTAGCTGGGCTGACACAGCCAGTACAAAGCAACTAATGCCAGGTGTTCCAAACCCCACACTGTCACCCTGCCCCTCCCAGGACATCCCAGGAATGATGGATACCAGCTCCCCTAGCTCTGCTCCCTTACCTGTAATTCAAGCTCCCAGGGCCAGACCCCGTCCCAAATGTAGGAGAGAAGTTCTGGCTGATGGGAGGGATAAATGTGCCCAGGCTCTTGGCATAGTCCAGGCTGCTGCTGGAATCTTTCAGGTTGGTCTGAGGGCTGAATTTAAATGGGTAGATTGTGTTGTCATAGAGGAAGCTCAGCTTGGAGGATCGGTCTGCTTTCTCTGCATCAGCTTTAGAGGGCTTGCTCTTTATCTGCTTCCCATCTTTGCTCCTTGGGCCCATGCTGAAATCCTGTTTGGGAAGATAAACATCATCTTTCCTTACAGTCATGGTTGAAAGGGCAGTTTACAGCAGTGCATGCAGGAAAAAAAAACATGTCAGAAGCCTACACATGCATGATTCTGCAAGAATCCAGTGGAGATGGAATTGGTTTTGTTAGAGAATCTCTGCTTTCCATCAAACAGGAGAAAACTTGTCAGGGTTCCAGCACTCTCTGTAAATAAGTCACTTGAGACTGGAATCAGAAATGATGGAGGAAAAACAGCTGCATCCTGTGTCTCTTCCGAAGAAATTAAATAAAAACTCATCTCAATGTCACCTCAAAGTCACTCTGAAGCGTCTTTGGTATCCAGTTGAAAGGAAAATTTTTCATTTTGATGACAGGGCTTTAAAACAGGTTAACATAAAGCAGCATAAAGCATGACTTATGCTTCCCAAGTGATTCCCCCTCCAGCTCTGCATTGCCAGGAACTGCACCACTGTGTGGTTCACCTGCAAGGGACTGGCCCAAGAACCCCCTGCACACTCCCAAGGTATTTCCTAGGAATTGCTGCACCTATTTTAAAAACAATGATTTTAAAACATGAGAAAACACCCAAAAGAATACAGGTTTGGAGAACTCGGACCAACCTGGACGCTGATGATTTTTCTTTCTTCTAAAACATCCTTTTTACTGATTTTAGATTTTTTTTGGAACTGATGGTCTCTGGCATCTTTCTGGATCATTTGTTTAAGCTCCTGAGTAAATCTACATTCCATATAAAGAGGAAAGAAAAAAACAAATAATAAAAGGGCTTCTATTTATCTGAATATTATCATCAGTTGTTAAGCCCAGGCTTCTATAGCCCTTTAAAGTAGTCAAACAAACTGTGCCTTTAAAGCAATGAGAGGACCAATGTAATGTATACATTAAATAAAATTTTCTGCATGTATTTTTCACAATACAGCAATTAAATACAGCAATACAGCAATAAAAAATAAATCTGCACCAGTTTGGTGCAGATACAGAGAGTGAATACAGTGTAAGACTGCACTGCCCAGTGTGGTGTGGCACTGATGAATTAATGTCATGACAAGGTAAATGTGCCACTGCAATGTTTTCCCTTCCAATTCTATTTTCAGGAATGCCAAGCCAAAACAAACTGAGGCATTCAGCAGCTGTCAGCTCTGCAAACCCAGCAGTGTGCAGTCTCCCAGCACAACTGCTTCACTTCTTTCTAACCTGAGCCTGCAGTGAGCAGGAAAGGAGCTCTTACCTTTCAGCAAAGCCGTCCTTGTTGAAGAAATCACCCTGCAGGAGTTCGGCACAGGATGGTCTCTTGTCTGGGTCAATCTGCAAGCACTCCTGTCAAACCAATGCCAACAAGAGGAGAAAAACACAGCAGGAATTAAAGCTTTGGCATGTCTGAGGGAAAGATCCCTGCAGTGACTCCTTTGGCCCTGCAGGGCTGAGTGCCCCCATCACCCTGGACTGGAGCTCTGGGATCCTGCAGCCCTCACCTCAGCTGCGTGGGGAGCTGAGAGAAGGGCACTTCAACATCCCTGTGCTCAGCTGTGTGAGGTGAAGGACAGGGAAACAGAGGAACACTCCCAGGAAACACTCTGTGAATTACCTTGGCTAAATCCAGCGCGTCACGAGGGAGCTTGGGATAGCGTTTCTCCAGGGATTCCAGCTCCTTCACCTCGGGCAACTTCATGCCAGCAAAGAGGGGGTTTTTATAGAATAACTCCTGTTGCCTTGGGATCAAGTTACCTGCAGTCAGGCAAACAAAGCAGCCACATGGAAAATACAGGACAGTGAAACACGTGAGAGGCAGAAATGCTGGGTCAGCACTGGAGTAAGGGCTACAGCATGGCTTGTTATCTTCCCACCCACCAAAACAAATCTGAGCCCCTCGCTCCCGAGGGGCTCTTCTTACCCAGGCACTTGGTGATATGGTAGAGCTGGTCAATGTCTGAGTCTCCAGGGAAAAGGGCCTCTCCCGTAAGCATTTCTGTGATCAGGGCGCCGACAGCCCACACGTCCACAGGCCTGGGGGGAAAAACCACCAGCTCAGCACAGCTCCAGGGATCCAAAGGCTGAGGCAGGGATGGAGCACCCCCTGCGTGCCCCCCACAGCCCTTCCCAGGCTGGCAGGCCGGGCTCACCTGCCGTATTTGCTGTCCCCCACCAGCAGCTCCGGGGCTCTGTACCAGCGGGTCGCCACGTAGTCCGTGTAAACTTCCCCGGAAGTCGCCAAGGGCCGGGCAAACCCGAAGTCGCAGAGTTTCACAACTCCTGACTGGGAAACCAGTATGTTCTCTGGCTTAATATCCCGATGGATGATCTGCACAGGGAAAAGGAAGTCAGGCAAACTCCCTGTTTGGACATAGCAAACTGGCTGGCTCGGCAAAAAGTGCAGCTTTCTCATGTTCAAGTAGAAAATTACAGGTGAACACAGAACCTCTAATTCCAGACACATTTGTTTTATGCATCTCTTCTCCTTTTCAGACAAAGCTCTATTTCTCTAAGTTCAGATATATATAAATACAAAAATACAGGCTTCTTTTCTAATATCTATCTATTGATTGTAGCTGCAGAGCTGATTTCTTGCACATACTTACGTTGTGGCTGTGACAAAAGGCAATTGCTCTCAGGATCTGGAATAAGTATCTCCGAACCCTGTCGCAGTCCAGTCCACTGGGAGAGTCCTCGAGGTCATTGAGCACCGTGTGATCCACAAACTCAAACACCAGGTACCACCGCTTCTTCCTCTTGCACACATCCAACAGGTTCACCAGATTCTCGTGCCTCAGTTGCTGTCAGAAAACAGGGAATGTTTAGTGAGGGAAAACAGTAAAAGCTATAAAGGGGAATTTTTTAAAACATATTTTTTGCAGTTAATTTTTTTTTAACTGCAGCCCAGCTGGGACGGTACCAAAGCCTCAGTTGCTGTCAGAAAACAGGGAATGTTTAGTGAGGGAAAACAGTAAAAGCTATAAAGGGGAATTTTTTAAAACATATTTTTTGCAGTTAATTTTTTTTTACTGCAGCCCAGCTGGGACATTACCAGAAAATGCAGCTTGAATAAAAAGAGGAAGAAAAAGCAGCTGTATTTTCTGGTTACTTTGTGTATTTTTGTTTATTTTGTGTCCCCACCTCCCATTTGTTACACATTTATCACACACCGACACAAAAGGCCGTGCTACAGAGCACAGTTATTTATTAGCTGGAGCCTGGCAGGGAAACATCCCTGGAGGCAGCACCAGAGCCCAGGAAGATGCAAAAGGACTGCAGAGCACAGGGAATTGTAGGAAAACTCTGCCAGTGCAGAGGCAGTGCCACCAACCTGCACCTGTGCCTGCCCAGACTTCTCACAAGGTCTGACAAGAGAAGAATTTTTAAAGGGTAATCAATAAGAGGAAAAGCTCTTTTTCCCAGGAATGATTTATTCCCCACACAAGACCTGAAGAGTTTTTTGCTGTTTTCAGACAAATAAATTTCTGCCCAAACTCGATAGGAAAAAAAAAAAATCAAAAATTAAAGCCAAAGATTGACAGGGAACAAGGGAAGGAACTACAAAGAGACCAAACCTCCAGGTATTTACGTCCCCTGTGAGAGACCACCCTTCCTTTATATGCAAATCTTTCCCCTTGCAAAGATTCCATTCACCCAGGAAAACCAGTTAATTCCCAGCACACCTGGGGGCTGCTCAGTAACTCGGAGCAGGGACAATCCAGGCTCACACAGATCCACTTTAGAAGGGTTTGAAGGGATAATGCTTGGAGCTGGATACATTTCTATTAATTCTAATTCTGCAGCTCGTGCAGTAATGGCAAACACCACTTTTTCCCCCCCTTTAGTGCACAGGAACTGTAAGCTGCCAGATTTAGAGAGAGACACTTGTGGCAGACAGGAGGACAGGACACAGCTTTGCCAGTATTCCCACCTCTGGAACACCCCACATCACAGGAGCAACCTGGAAATAAAGTTTTCCTTCTTTTTTTTTTCTTTTTCTTTCACCAAACACATTACCTGGGTCCTAATGTTCCAAACTCCCACATGTGCCCATGCACATGGGACAAGCATTCCTTTAGGACAAGGGAAGCACCCTCAGCACTCTAACAAGGAACAATTTTTTCCTGATATCCAAACAAAAGCTGCTTTCTTTCAGTTTCAATCCATTCCCCCTTGTCCTTCCCCCCAACAGTGACACCAGGCAAATCCCACACTCCAACACCAAGGGACACAGCTGGCTGCCACACAAGGTTCAGGGAATCCCACAGGAGTCCTCCTCCAGCCTCTTGCCTGCCAGGAAGGTGCCGTGGATAGAAAAAAAAATAAAGGAAAACTTTCCTAGCAGCGTTTTCCCGTCTCAGGTGACACCCAGCCCGTTTAGCGTCACACCCCCAGGCTCTGAAAGGTCAGCGTTTCTCCTATTTCCAGCAGCATTTGGGACAGGGGACAGCCACCACCAGGCGGCAACAGAGCCCGCACCATTCCCTGGGCACGCCAGAACATCCCCAGCCTTTCCCAATCCGGGATTCGCCAGGTGCATCCATCCCAGCTCTCAGGCCAACGGAGAGGCAGCTCTGCCAGGCTACGGCACGGCAGGGTCCATGGATCCAGGCCCGGGGAAAGAATTCCAGCGGCGCCCAAGCCCGCCTCACCTTGAGCAGCTTGATTTCCCTCAGGGCGATTTTCCTCACCGCCGCGTCGTCGTCGCTCTCCAGGAACTTCTTGACGGCCACGATCTGCCCGCTCTCCCTGTGCCTGCACTTGGTCACCATGCCGTAGCTGCCTTCCCCCACCAGCCCCAGCACCTGGTACTTGTCCATGGCGGCGGCGGAGGGCCCGGCCCGGGATGCGGGCACGGGGCCGGGATGCGGGCGCAGCGCCGGGATGGAGGCACCGCGGCCGCCGCCGCCTCCCGGCCAACGCGGCGTTACCGCGGCAACGGCCCGCCGTAAAGCGCGGCCGCGCCCCGCCTGTCGCGAAAGGCGCCCGGCAGCTCGCTGGGCCCTTGAAAAGGCCTCATAAAGTGTTTTAAGGGTTAAATGTTATAAAGGCTGCTTTCTAAAGCCGCTGGGGCAAGTAAAGCGGGCTCAGCAATCTTATATTTTGTGGGGTGTGTTAAAAGCCCAGCCTGAATCCATGCAGTGCCTGTTCCGTGTGTGGACAGGAGGTTGCGGATGTTGCCAAGGCTGAGCCGTGAAAAAGGCGGAATAATTTGGTTTTTAGGTGCCTGTGCCGGTGGCCTCGCTGTGCAGTTCACCTTACAAAGTTATTCACAATGTAAAAGCGTCCATGAGCCTGCTGCCTTTGAGGGGAAGGAAAGCTGAAGCATCCCTGTGGGTGCGCTCGGATTTTCAGCCAATGCATTCTCAATCCAGCATCCCCTTGTTCCTTCCATCCACTGGTGGATGTAGCAACCCTTGGTCTGGCCTTCTGCTAACACTGACTTCTCATGTTCTGGGCATGACACGTGTAGGAAAACAGCTCCAGGAACAAACCGCAGGAACAAAGGCATTCCGTGCGGATATTCCCAACATTCCCGCCTCACTTCGGTGGCCTCTGTGTCACCTCAGCTGTGTCACAGCTAAGGGCACTGTGGAAAAAAAGGTGTTCAATTTCTCTGAAGGAATTCACGAACGCCTGTCAGGCTGGAATACTGCAACAGCGCTCTTTGGGAAAGGAGCAGTATTCCCCTTGCCAAAATGTCCATTTCCTGGAAAACAGTGTAATGAGGAATCGTATCTGGAACCTGCAATGTATTCCTCCCGAGTCACATCGATAGGCATCACCTTCTGTAAGGAATTCCTGGTTGCTTTTATGCCTCCCTCATCCTCTCTTCCTACATGCCACGGACAAGGGGGAATGGCTCACACCGAAAGAGAGTAGATTGCATATTAAATTGGAAATTAGGAAAAAACTCCTCCCTGTGGGGGTGGAGAGCCCCTGGCACCGAGAAGCTGAGGCTGCCCCATCCCTGGAAGTGTCCAAGACCAGGCTGGACGGGGCTTGGAGCAGCCTGGGATAGTGGAAGTTCCACTCAAACCCCATCTGTGATTCCGTGGTTTGGTGTTCAGTGTGGAGCTGTGATTTAGGGAGCTACAGAGACCAAAAATGAGCGATGACCCTCACTAAACCACCCCGTGCCCGTGCTCCAGCCACCCCGCCGGCACTGACCCTCGCTCACCGGGGGCACACCCTTTTCTCCCCCCTCACAACACCGGGCACCTTGAACGGGATTCCTCTCGCCCACAGGGCCATTTTCCACCCTGCCCACGGGCACCACCCTGCCGTATTTTCCTCCCGTCAGAACACGGGCTGCGGGGTTCCGCGGCCCGGCCCGGTGCCCGTGAGGGGCGGCTTTCCGCGGCCCGGCGCGGTGCCTGTGAGGGGCGGCGTTCCGCGGCCCGGTGCCTGTGAGGGGCGGCGTTCCGCGGCCCGGTGCCCGTGAGGGGCGGCGTTCCGCGGCCCGGTGCCCGTGAGGGGCGGCGTTCCACGGCCCGGCCCGGTGCCTGTGAGGGGCGGCGTTCCGCGGCCCGGTGCCTGTGAGGGGCGGGCCGCCGTGGCCGATGATGCCGGTGTCAGGGGCGGTGCCGGCGAGCGCAGCCATGAGGCTGTGCCGGCCCTTTGTTGCCGGGGCTCCGCGGCCGCCCCTCCGGCCCTGAGCCCGCCGGCAGGCAGCGGGAGCCGTTCCCAGCAGGATGCCATGGGGAACTGCTGGGCGCGGTGGTGCTGCGGGCTGTTCCTCCGGAGGGATCCCGGCCGCATCCAGCGCGGCGGAGGGTGAGCAGCATCCAGCGCCGCTGCCCCTTTCCCCTCCCCGGGGCGGGGAGGTGCCGGGCCCGCCGGCTCCGCCTTCCCCGTGGGGCAGGAGGGGGCGGCAGGGTGGGATGCGGGGTCTGGGCGATCCCGGTTCCTTTGGGGAGCCCCGGCGGGCTCGGCGCGGCTTGGGTCGGTGCGCTCGGGGCTCATGCACTTCCAGGGTCAGCGGCTCCTCAGTCCCGGTGTTTTTCCGGCAGGAGGTGCCTGGAGGGGTTTTCCAGGTCAGCTGCCAAAAAGCCGTGCAGGCGGCCGTGCTTGTGCGAGAGATGGAAAAACACCCGGTTCTCTGCAATGTGATCTCGTCCTCGCCGTGAGTCAGAGGCTGAGCCGCTGCTGTTGGGATAAATCAGGAGCAGAATGGTTCCGATGAACTCATGTCTGTTGCAGAATGGCTCAGAGGAATCCTTATCTCTTGGAAACGTGCGACAACCTGCTTCGTTCTGCCACAAGCAGTTCACGGAAAAGCACTGTGCAAACAGGAAGTGCTTGGGCTTTTTCCATATCCTGGCCGGCTCTGGATACCCACACATCACTTATTTTTGATGTGTTAGGGTAGAAATCGTTCTCAGCAGATACGCTGGGCATTTTACATGATGCAAGCTCGTGGCCTCTTGCTTCACACCAGCCCTGGCAGGCGAGTCTCACCTTCCAGACAAGCTGCTTCTCAGAGACAGGGGTGAAAAACCAGGGCAGTGCATGCAGAGGATACCTGCTTGTATTTCCAGTGCTCCGCCAGAGGGGATGAGAGCACCCCCAGCGCCTTGACAAGCTGGCACTGAAGTAGCAGTTTGCTGTGCTTTGAGAACACCAGGCAGTACTTGAAAGCTTCTTCTTCCTGTGTGCTTTGCTGAGTCTCCTTCCACAGGCCAATAGCTCTTTTTTCAGCAGGCAAATCTAGTGACAATTTGAGTGACAAAAAGTTTACTTCCAATCCCTGCACGTGTTAGTCCAATACCAGGCTGTCCTGACCAGTGAAACAAATCTCCCTGCCTGCTGCTGTACTGTCTGATTGTTCAGGTGTTGCACAACCTGCAGCGAGTGTCTGAGGTTCAGATCAGATTTGTTTTCCGGGCGTGGTGGTGGTGGTGGTAGTTTACAGAGCAGTGTCAGACTGTTGGGCTTCTTCTCCTTCCACTGAGCAGGGAATTCTATTAAAACCAAAACTGTAAAATGTGGCGTATTAAAAAGTTAGATCGATAGCACATTGTCCACATTTGGCTGTTTCTGGAGCACCATAATGTAAAAATGTACCTTATCAACTTAATGATTACTTCAGTCGCTCAGATCCTCCCCCCACCCCAGCTTCCTTATTTTTGGATGCTCCAGGATTTGCCTGTAAGAGATAAACTCCTAAAGAACTAAGTATAGAGTTTTCAGTAAGGTTTTCAATATCCTGGAAGATTGTAAGTTGCCTTTGCTTGGAATTCTGCTGCTTTATATATGTATATATAAAGCTGATATTATATATATATATAATTCTGCTGCTTTATATATATATATAAATTATTCCATATATATATATATATACGGAATTCTGCTGCTTTATATATATATATATCTGATATATTATATATATGTAATTCTGCTCCTTTATATATATATATAAATTATTCCATATATATATATATATACGGAATTCTGCTGCTTTATGCATATATATATATATATGTAAACATTTTCATAGGTTGCTGATCCTTCACTTGAAGCTTTGTGTAGGGGTGAAGCTGGTGGGTCATTTGTGTCCCTAATGACCTCAAGCTTCCACAGTTGCGTTGAAAATGGCCTCTGCCCTCTGGTTTCCCAGCAGTGAATCCTCTGGAAGAGGTTCTTTAGTGGCAGGAAAGGTTGTGCAACAAGGAACCAGTGGGTAGAGCAACAAGTTGCCAGGGGAGACGCTCCCGAAAGTGGCTTCCAAAGAAAAATGAGATGGAGATGAAATCTGGTACGGTTAAAATAATTCAGGCTTTGGCTGGGGTGTTGCTTTTATTAGTGTCACAGTGTTGGTGTTGGTTGCAAGTGCTGAAGGATCTTTTCGTGCAAGTGGAGAAATCCCTGAGGCCCTGGCTTTGTTCCTTGTACCAGTCAGCACTTGCAACTGGAAACCCTGGTTTGGGAAACAGTTCGATGAAATGGATGTTGCACTGAAGGGTGTTTATGTTAGAATGTTCCTCTGGACAGTGGCCAAACCTCCCTGGCTAGGTAAAAATGTGTCCAGGTAACTTAACACTGTGTGGGGTTTTGTAGAGGACAGGGCTAACTGTCCTCTGCAAAAGAATTAAAATAAAATAGGAAGAATTCCGAATAAAGAATCAGGGGAGGAAACCAGTTCCCTGTATAAAATTAGAGTGTGAGTTGATTTTTTAATTTTTTTTTTAGTTTAAAAGTATTGCCCATACCTCTTATTTGATGTTTTTCCCTGAGACTCAGCCTTCTGGATGTGCCAAGCTGTCAAAATAAAATGTATTGTTTAGCACTGATGAGGTACAAGGTGCCAGGAAAGAGTTAAGTGCCGTGGTGAGCAACAGCATTTTCAGAAATTGCCTGGAACAATGCTTTTTTCCAGGAAAAAAATGTATTAAAGGGATTGCAGAACATGCTAATAGTCTGTAAATGTCAAGTCCAGCATCCTGACAAGTGATTTCCTCTCACAAGGGTTGTGTTTTTTTCCCCAGTTCTACAGAAGGCGTTCACATGCTTTTGCCTCTCCCTGCTGTAGTTAATAAGTCAATGTGCTAAATACATGAAGATTTTGTTGTTATTTTAGATTTAACGTATTTTAAAACCTACTTTAAATTTTTGTGCTCGTTTGCCTTCTGCTGTGTATGGAAGAGTCTTCTGCAGTCTAACTGTAAACTTATTTTTCCAGATCCAAGTATTTTAGAACGTGTTCAACAGGAGAACACTTCACTATAGAGGTGAGCACTCACATTTTTAGTGATTTAAGGAAAAGTGGGAAGGGCTGAGTCCTGGCAATGCCTTTAACACTTTCTGCAGTTTATGAACACTGAAATATTCTGGGATATTCCAGCCCAAATTGATGCTGGGGTTACCTTCTAGTTTACAGAGGTCCTTTCCCAGCCTCCTTTTTGCCAAGGGTAGTGCAAGGAATAACCTGGTTTACTTTCCCTCCTGTACCCTGCAAGTCCTAGGCCAGCCAGATTGCCCCCATTAATGAGGATAACATTAATTATTGTGGTTAATGCTTGAGCTGTTGAGAAAGTTGTACAC